TAACATCTCAAAAAGGTGTCTGCTGCCTCCAACACATGCCCTTCCAAAAAGCAGTGTTTTGGGTTCTGAACCAGACACTCTTACATTTCATTAGACAGTGAATGGGGCTGGCTGGTGTGTAACCTTGTAGGATCCCTACTATTTCAAAAAGAGTAAATCTGTATGAAAAAAAAAATGCCCCAATCCTGTTCCCTTGCCAAGAAAAAGAGGTTCTCGGAGAGGAAGGTTGGGTTACTCATACTATTAGAGCAGTAAAGACTCTTTGGTCACCCATTGAGAAATTATTCTTATTCTGGTATTCATAGAAAATCTAGATTAAATGGACAGAATGTGATTTGACAGCAGCACTGACTCATGCAGACTGAATTTTGGCAAAGAAAATATTGCTAACTGCTGAATACATATGCACTACTTGAGAAACCTGGCTGCAGAACAGACACACAGAAAAATGCAAGCACTTATTAATGCAATGAATTTGATTGTTGTAGCATTAGAAAAACAAGAATGTAGTGGCAATAAAAATGTTACCAGACTTAAGCAAGATAATTTATTGCAACTTGTTACCCTGATGCTATGAGCCATGACCCACAGCTGAATTTTTTTTCCAAATGCATTTGTTTCTCCAATTTAATGTTTTCATATTAGTTTTCATGTTACTAGAAAATGTTGTCTATCCATCTTCCCATGAATCTACAATAGGGGCCTTACCCATTCTTATACTTATACTTTAGGTGCATTTCCCCCCATACGTTCTAGGCCAGTTGCTCTCAACCTTTCCAGATTACTGTACCCCTTTCAGAAGTCTGATTTGTCTTGCATACCACAAGTTTCACCTCACTTAAAAACTACTTGCTTACAAAATCAAACATAAAAATACAAAAGTGTCACAGCACACTATTTCTGACAAATTGCACACTATTACTGACAAAATTATATGTTTACTATATAATTAATACAATAAACTAACTGGAATATAAATATTGTACATACATGTCAGTGTAGAGCATATAGAGCAGTCTAAACAAGTCATTGTCTGTATGAAATTGTAGTTTGTACTGACTTCACTCGTGCTTTTCATGTAGCTTGTTATAAAACTAGGCAACTATCTAGATGAGTTGATGTACTCCCTCAAAGACCTCTGTGTACCTTCAGGGGTACATGTACCCCTTATTTAGAACCACTTTTCTAGGCTATGTGATAGGAGATGGCAGCTATTCTGCACAGCTGTATACTTTAGATTGATATTTAATAGAATTATGTCAGAGGTTGAAGATAATATGCTTATTCTTCAGAGTGCTAGAAGTTTCTATGCTTGCTTTTGTTTATAATTTCTCATCCATTGTATTCCCACTTCCAACTCCTATTTCAAACCCAACACAAGTTTCCCCTCCCTTCTTTCAGCAACTCCCACCAGTGCCCTGTAATAAACTTTGTTACCAGATCTTTCCCCTTCACTTGAACAAAACCATGGTATATTTTAGGGCAGGCCACTTTTTTATTTCAACTAAGCTGAAAGTTGGTGATGCATGTGGCTACATATTTCATAACTGAACTCTGGAGAAGTGTGAGTACTGTTCCTGAGAAGACTATATAGAACCTCTTATCAGGATTGTTGTCTTAATAATTATCTCTGAAAGCATCCATTAATTATTGAATCAATAAAGGGTGACGTAAGAACCACCTTTGAAATAAATTACACAAACCCTTTCAGAACACTTCATGGAATGCTTCAAAAGAGAAAGTTAACGGGGGTTTGCACATTTCTGGAAAAATGTGGAAATAGCATAGGACACAAGATAAAAGCTGTAAGACAAAGTAGTGTACGAAGGCATAGCATACCTAAGATTACCAGAAGTGACAAAATAAGGATTTAATTGACAGGGCAAACAGATCATTTCTGGATGTTACAACATTACTATAGAAGTACCAAAAAAAACCCAACAACAACAACAACAAAAAACCCTGTTAAAAGAATGTGAAGGTTTCAAAGTCAAGAAGCCAAAAGCTTGGAAATGCCAGAATTAAGATTGCCTGTGTAATTTTAGATCTTGTTTCACTTGAAAGTTATTTCAGATTAACTTTAGTTGTTTTGGGATGAAGTGTCTTGCATTCATAAACAATTTTTTTTTAATTATCTGGTGTCTCAATCTGCATTACAAAATCCATTTTGAAAGCAAGTTTCATAAATTTTGGAATGAGTTAGCAGGCAATAAGGTAGGTGTGTATGCATCCCCATTTCAAATAAACTATTCCGCCTCTAGCAGCCCTTGCATTGCAAAAAGCTATGTGGAGGTGGAGTGTGAAAAAAACAATCAGGCTCCCTGCTGGCCTTGCCCACTGGAAGGGACCCTGCCCCGGGGTGATCAGGAATCAATCAGCTTGAGGGGCAGCTCCTCTTTTAACCATTGAAAGCTGGTGGAGTGAGGGGGCTTTACTGCATACCTGGGTCAGCCTGTCTCACATATGTGCCCTCTACTCCTCCAGGATCAGTCATCTTGATGGGATGTCATCACCCTGTTTCAGGGGTAGGCAAATCTATGGCATGTGCGCCAAAGGCGGCACGTGAGCTGATTTTCAGTGGCACTCACACTGCCCAGATCCTGGCCACCAGTCTGGGGGGGCTCTGCATTTTAATTTAATTTTAAATGAAGCTTCTTAAACATTTTAAAAACCTTATTTACTTTACATACAACAATAGTTTAGTTATATATTATAGACTTACAGAAAGAGACCTTCTAAAAACGTTAAAATGTATTACCGGCATGCGAAACCTTAAATTAGAGTGAATAAATGAAGACTCGGCACACCACTTCTGAAAGGTTGCCGACCCCTGCTCTATTTAAATGCTAGCTTGCAGACATGTGCTTGCATTGTGATTCCAGCTCCCAGACATACAGATCATACAGCAACCATGCCCTGTGTTTCTGCATGGTCCCATGCTGAGGTCCTGGGCTTTCTTGCCTTCTGGGGAGAAGAAATGGTCCACTCCCATCTTAACAGCAGTCACCAGAATACCATACATTTCAAGTCATGTATTTCTTCCATGCTGCCTGACTGCAGCTATTTGGCAATGGAGTTTTCTTACAAAAGCCAGATGCATGATGGGATGAAAGGAGAGGAATCATAGGAATTTATTAATTTCACCCCTAGATTCAGAGTTCCAGTAGAGATCCTACAGTGTAGGGTTACCATATTTCAGGTTCCCAAAAAGAGGATACTGGAGGGAAGGGGGGGCTGGAGGACAGGGTACAGTTGGGGAAGCTAAAGGGGTACCTGCAGTAGGGGTACTCACTGGAGGTGGGGGACAGTGTCACCATTCCCTGTCATGGTGGCAGGGTGGCTGGTGCAAGCCCTGGGCACAGCTACAGCCATCACTCTCTGCAGGCCCCCTTCCTAGGACTGGGAGTCAGCTGGGGCCAGGGTGGGCAGGATCTGGCAGCTGTGGCTGCAGGGGAATGGACCAATCAGCTGCCAATGCAAGGAAGCGGACCAATTGGGGTTCTTTCTGAGCTGCAGCCTCTACTCTACAAAAACCCCAGACATTGCCTGTTATTTGAAAAATCCCCTTGGACAGGGGTTCAAAAAAGAGGCAATGTCCCGGAAAACCCGGACATCTGGTAGCCCTAACACAGTGTACTGTTAGAATAATAGCAGAATGCATATAGCTTAGTGGTGAAACATTGCACCAGGGGATGGCTGCACAGAATGCGGTGCTTATTTAAAAAACACCACCACCACGTTGTGTGGATTTCATGATGCAAAACGAAAACAGCTTAAGCTGGGACAACAAAACACTGCTGGACACTGGACAGACTGCTTTAGAAATAGTTATTTCTGAAACAGAAACACATTATGAGAATTAGCTTTCAAATATGGACAAGCCCTTAATTCAGCCCCCCAGGTATGCATTATGATTGTCTTTAGTCACTTGATCACATACTACTATTTTCCACAGTACCCCTTCCTCATCCAGTGCACAAGATAGACAGTGCTGACGAGGAGCGAGATGGTAAAAGTCTGACGCCGGCTCCCTTCCGCCACGCAGCGTGTGTGTGTGTGTGTGTGTGAGAGAGAGAGAGATGGAGATCTCCTTGTGTTACAGGTGTGGGAGCAGGCTCCAGGCTGCACTGAATAAATAATTGATTTATTATTATGTGGCAATTTTCTCAGTTATTTTATGGTATTTTCAATGTAGCAAATGCTTCAGAAATGTAACATCTTCGCACCATCCCTCTCAGGAAAAGTGATATTAACTATTATCATCCTCATTTTCCTGAAGGAGAACCGAGGTACTGAGATTAAGACAAAAATCGTTGTGTCCACCATTTTTGAGTGCCCCTCTTGAGATGCCTAAGGCCTTATTTCCTAGAGCACTTATTTTTCTAGGACTCTCTGTGCTCACACCACAGTGACACCTGACTTCAACAGCAGCTGTGAGCGTTCAGCCCTGCAAAGCTTGCCCCAAAGGTCTCAAGTCCAGCACCTGGACTGCGGGGAACATAATCCGTGCCGGTGGAGAGTTTGGTGTAAGCGACTTGCACAGCAGGGACAGGTCTGGCAGGCTGAGTCAGGCATAAAGGAAGTTCTCCAAGCAGCTGTCAACTGCCTTAACCAGACTGGCCCCTTCTCCTTCCTGTAACGCCCTGCCTCAGTCACTGTGCACCTTCCAGCTGGCACCTGCAGCCAGGGAGGTGGGCCCCACAGATCAGCCCCCTGCACTTCACTGGGCAGCCCTGACACACCCCCCTCACACCCTTCTACCCCAAAGAGCCTCTCCAACGCTTCAGCACAGGCGCATTAACGCCCTGGGCTAACCCCCCTCAATCCAGGGTTAAACGAGGAGCCGCCCTCTCTGGCTGACTGGCCAGCGGCCTATTCCGCGCCTCCCACCCGATTCTTAGGGGGCGGAGTCGCTGCCAGTGGGCGGGGCCACTTGTCCCCCCCCCCGCTCCACTTCCTCGTTCCTCATGACCGTCGAGTGATGCTGCGCATGCGTATTACGGGGAGGTATGGCGAGAGGAACGCTTCCGGAGCAGGCTCGCGCCGTCGGAGGTTAGCTCCGGTCGTGCGTTGTGACCGTTACCGGATAGAATGTTTAGGAGGCCGCCGCGGAACTTCCGGGGCCGCCAGAGAGCCGCCTCCAGCTGTAGCAGCAGCAGCAGCAGCGGCGGCGAAGGGGAGCCGGAGTATGAAGGGGCGCAGGGCGAAGAGGAGCAGGCGCAGGGCCCTGCCAGGCCCGCCGCCGAGAGGCAGCCGCCCGCAGAGGGGCCAGCAGGGGACATTAGAGGTCAGGAGGAAGAGGAGGATGGCGGCGGCGTGCCCCGAGGGGCGAACCCCCCCAGAGCGGGGCAGGCGCGGGGAGCGACCGCCCTGCTGAGCTTCGGTGCCGACGAGGAGCGAGATGGTAAAAGTCTGACGCCGGCTCCCTTCCGCCACGCAGCGTGTGTGTGTGTGTGTGTGTGAGAGAGAGAGAGATGGAGATCTCCTTGTGTTACAGGTGTGGGAGCAGGCTCCAGGCTGGTCTGCAAACAGCTGGGCCCTTTGTCTGGCCCTCTTGTTCTGGGCTAACAATGGCCGGGGTCAGCTAACTTTTAACTTACACCTTGCCTTACTCCCTCTCAACTTTCAAGGGTGGACAAGCCCAAGTGTTAGGGCTTGGATGAGAACCCAGGAGGCTGGTGCCCAGTCCTGTGCTTTAATCACTCCAACACCCTCAGGTACTGGGACCTGCAGTCACCCCTCAAGAGCCTGGCTGGACGGCAGAGCTACTGTCACTTTAGTAGTTCTCCCGGTATCTCTGCTGGGACTGGCACCTGTAAGGGTATGTCTACACCGCGGCTGGGAGGGTGCTTCCCAGTGCAGGTAGACTGACTGGCACTAGCTGTGCTCAAATTAGTGCTCTAAAAATGGCAATGTGGTTGTAGTGGTACAGGTGGCCGCTCAGGCTAGCTCCCGGAGTGCCTATTCGTGGGTTGAGTGGAATTGCACTGAGGGGAGCTGCACTGCTTTGTGATGCAAAGACTAGTAAAGTTAATGATGTGATAAAGGAAGAGTAAGTGCATAGCCAAGACCTGGCTATTTGATACTGCAAGACACTGCAATATATATGACTCATGTGAAAGAGGTTTTGTGAAGGGGTGGGTCTGCACTTTTTTGCATGTAAACTCAAATACAGCTGATCTCCCACACTAAAGCTGTGCTGATCAACAGTGATACTGAAACTGCTGATGGTCCTTGGTGACTTCACTAGGCACACGTGATTTTTCTGGATTAGTTTGGAACTTCATGGCTACCTGACACTCATAGGACTATTTCATCTGAGTGGACCCTACAGTTATAAGGCTGTGCACATTCTGGGTCTGATGTTTGGGTTGTGGTGTTTTTTTTTAATTTATGCTTATGTTATGATAATACCTAAAGACAATGTGCAAACATATAATAAATGACAGTCTCTGCCCTAAAGAACTTGGAGCCTAAAAGACAAGGGTCAGGAGTGGAGTATGAAGGAATGGATGTTACCCTCTGTTATGGACTGAGGCCCAGATACCAAATACCCTCGTATTGATTTCAGTGGGAATTAAATGCCTAAATACTACTGAAGACCGGAGGTGACTGTTGTTTCCTTTGTTTAAGGTTATCTTACCCTGATAAAGTAAGGGGACATGTATTGTAATCTTTTAGCACCTTCAAATCCCTCTTCAAAATTCTCTTGCTGTGATTCTTACAAAAAACTTGACAATAGTTAGGCTGTAGTCTCAGTACACCAACAGCTTGTCATGTTGACTAATATTGTCTCATTGTTTACTTGTACTACCCTATTTGTCTATATCTATTTGTTGTCTCTTGTCTTATGCTTAGATCGTAAACTCTTTGGGGCAGTGACTCTCTTTTGTTCTGTGTCTGTACAGTACAGTGTGATCCTGGTCCATGACTAGGCTGACTAGGCACTATGGTAAAACAAATAATAAAATGTTTCAAATGTGGTGATGTTGCTTTGTAAATATGTTTACACTGATCCTTTTTTTTCCCCCTCCTACAGAGGGTGAGGAACTCTTTAAAATAAAGAAGCCATCTCTTAACACAATAACATTTAGAATGCAAAGGAAAGAAAACTCTCACTCTGCAGTTAGAGAAGCTGAAAGAAGCAAAGGTAAGTACGTAGCTACTTATTGGGTGTATTTTAGTCTAGTTGTTTGTAAAGCATTTTGAGATCCATGAAGGAAGGGTGCTTTGGCAAGTACTGTTATCAGACATATTGTTTTATATTAATAAATTACAAGAATGAATTTGTGGTTGAAAACAGTCAAATTTAAATGTATATCCCAAAACACATAATGAGCAGGTCTGATCCTGTATCTATTTAAGTCATCTGCCAAAATCCCATTGACGTTGTAGGAGTAGTATGGGCACTTAGGCTGACCTTGAGAGGAGTTGGCCTCCTGGAACTCGCATTGTAAATGGAGATTACTAGGCAGTTACAAATTCCATTAGTCTCAGGATTTGGTCCTAGGCAGTAGTTTCTCAATGACTTTAGCATTTTCATTTTTTAGAAGTGGGCCTCAGATTTCATTAATGAGAGACAGCACAACCTGTTTAAAACTAGTCATAAATCATGTTAAGAATCCCCTAAAATTGTCTGAATTTAGGATAGAGTTGAAATGAAAATACATGAATTTGTATGATGATGCCTTACTTTACTGTGTCCTAAAATTTTGCTTTTGTTAAGATTCATACTATAACTAAAAATACTGCCTTAAATCTTTGAAGACAATGGGATTGCTCAATGTGTAAATTTAAGCACAGAAGTCTTTTCAGGGTCAGGGATTGATTGTTGTCTTCAGATTTATGATGTTTCTTAACAGGTTATCAACATTTCCAGTAGCTGAGACAAAAATCCTGGGTCTTGGTTTTTCTCCTTGAATACAGAAATCTTCCAATCGGAGTCTAGAATAATTAACAGTACTGATACATGTGAGACAGAAGAGGAGGATGAGCACTACTCATCAGCCAGTGAAGATTACACTAGTTCAGCCTCTGAAACTCAATCCAGCCCTCCACAGAAAAGAGAGGATTTATCAGCAGGTTTGTAACTAGTTATGAGCAGCGAGTAGGTACTGCACGTAGTCTTGCATATTGCAGAATATTCAAAGTACTGTTTAAAACACTGGACGCTGTTACACTAATGTATATTTAAAGTAACTTCACTGAAATCGTTGTATATCAAGGACATTTATTCCAGAATTACATGGGTGTAACTGAGAGCGGAATTTGCCTTTACAGTCTATTGTCAATCTGGTCTCTTGGGATAGATCTTTAGCATGATGATATGATAGAAAGCCCTGTAATATTTATAGTAATGAAATAAAAGAAAAGGTAAAATTAGATATCATTGTTTTTTTTATAAGTATGTGCTGAAACAAAACAAAAAAACCTCTATTATAGATCACTCACCATAACTAGGCATTTGGATAGAAGAGAAATGATGGATTCAAGGTTATGGTCCTTTCTAATATTTTCATTTTTAATAAACAGGAAATTAAATGCAATAACTTTATTAATGCAGCATTAAGGATGAATGTTTAGAGAACTTTTGCATTCCTGGATTATTAAAGTATTTATAGTAGTAGGAATCCTTTTTTCGTTTTCATGTATGATCTAGATTACTAGTTTAGCACACTTTTTTTTTCTTTTTCTTTACTGCTCATATTTTAATTTGCAGCCTGAAGGATAGTTCAATAATATTTTTGCCTTGATTATATTTTTCAGACTTAGGACTGGCAAAATGAAGAGAATTGTTATGCTTACAACATGTACCTCCATTTATGGCATAAATACTGGAAACTTTTATTTAGGTTATTGTGACTTTTAAGACTACTGTGGCCTTTGTTTTGAAGGTCTGAAAACTACTGGAAAGTTAACATGTAGTTTAGGGGTGGGCAAACTTTTTGGCCCAAGGGTCATATCTGGGTATGGAAATTATATGGTGGGCCATGAATACTCACAAAATTGGGGGTTGGGGTGCCGGAGTGGGTGCAGGCTCTGGGGTGGGGCCAGAAATGAGAAGTTCAGGGTGTAGGAGGGGGCTTTGGACTGGGGCAGCGGGTTGGGGTGTGCAGGGAGGGTTGGGGCTCCGGCTGCGGATGTGGGGTTGGGATTGAGAGGTTCAAAGGGTGGGAGGGGGATCAGGGCTGTGGTTGGGGCACAGGAGGGGGCCAGGGGTGTAGACTCTGGGTGGTGCTTACCTCAAGCAGCTCCCGAAAGCCGTGGCATGTCCCCCCCGCTCTGGCTCCTACCTAGAGGCGTGGCCAGGCGGCTCTGCACACTGTTCCGTGCACAGGCACTGCCCCTGAAGCTCCCATTGACTGCGGTTCCCAGCCAATGGGAGCTGCAGGGGCAGTGTGCAGAGCCTCCTGGCTGCCCCTCTACATAGGAGCTGGAGCAGGGACATGCCTCTGCTTCTGGTAGCCATGCGGAGCCATGGCACGTGTGGAGCAAGGCAAGCCCCAGACCCTGCTCCCCAGCTTGAGGGCCAGACTGACGCATCTGAAGGCTGGATGTGGTTCCTGGGCCATAGTTTGCCCACCCCTGATGTAGTTGAAGCAGCAGGGGTATGGAAGTGCTCCTCAATATTTGTGCTCTTTCAAGTTGAGCCCCTTGGACTGTAGAAATAACATGCACAACTATCTCAATTTATCATTAACAATGTATTGCAGAAAAAAGCCCCAAACTCCTAACGTATTACTATACTTTGGAGAAAAAGCATTTTATAATTAACTTTGTTGTGAGGAGTAGTGTTGAATTTTGCTCTTAGTCTCTTACCTTAGGTTCTTTCTGTTAATTACAGGTAATATACCTGATGCAGCTTATATCCGGGTTGCTTGTGGGAAACGTCATTTGGCCAGGACTCAGGGTGACTATATTCCACTGGACCCATCACATCGTGCTCCAGTCTCTCAGAAAACAGCATGCAGTGATACAGAGAGTGAGGATGACTCTGATCGTGACACGATTCTCCACTTTGCTCCCAAAACAAAAACTCTTAGGCAGAGGATGGCTGAATATGCAGGTAAGTTTAAGCCTGTTTACCAGGGCATAAAAGTGGCAAAACTTTAACTGTTTGAAGAATGTGCAGAGGGCAGTGCAAAGAGTGGTGTAGATCCTTATTGCCCTTTTAGGGCTTTTCTACACAGGTTTATTAAATCAGATTAACTTTAGTTAGTTCACTTTACAGTGCCTTATGTCCACAAACAACTTTTTTTTTTTTAAGTGATTACTTGGCATCTTAGGTCACTAATAATCCTCAGAAAAGGAGTAACTCCACTTCATAGGGAGTTTGCTTTCTTTAAGTTTGGGTGGATGCATTCCTAACTATTCTCCTTCTGGCAGTCCTCTAACTACTATCTCACACTACATAGTTCTATTCCTGGACTGGCCTGTCTTGTGCCATCCACTCCCCTGGGGTCATCTTAACCAGATGTCCTCTCTCAGTTTAAATGCTGGCACGCAACCAAGAATACCCATGTTTGATATCGGATAATAGTAAGTTCACATACTCCTTGCTCACCTTACCTGATCACTCTTGTTACAGTGTGTACGGTAACACCCATTGTTTATGTTCTCTGTGTATGTAAATCTCCCCACTGTATTTTCCACTGAATGCATCCGATGAAGTGAGCTGTAGCTCACGAAAGCTTATGCTGAAATAAATTGATTAGTCTCTAAGGAGCCACAAGTCCTCCTTTTCTTTTTGCGGATACAGACTAACATGGCTGCTACTCTGAAATACTCCTTATAGTAGTCAGGCCAAGCCTCTCTCCTCTGCCAGGTTTCTGTGTGGACTCATTCAGAGATCCAGGACATGATTGCCCTATTTGGAGAGCTGCATATTCAATCCCATCTGGAGAAGAGTCACTGGAATGCAGCCAACTACAATCTACAAGGCATTTGGAGCAAATGCCGGTAAGGAGGCACTCCTGGAGCTGGTCCCAGTGCTGAGTCAAAGCGAAGGCACTCCAGTGGAAGTACCTGAGGACAAGGGATCGTAACAGGACTTCTGGTAATGCTCCCATCACCTGCCCATACTCTGAGGAACTGAACCACATTTTTGCAAGTGAAACTACCACAGAACCCAAGACTTATGTGGCGGACAATTTTCCTCAACGCACCCAAGACAACATGCCTGGCACCCAAAAAGCCACTGAAAGCTACCTTGGCCTCATGTATGCCATGGGGATCCAACCAGGAGGAGATGTTTTCAGGGCAGCCAGAAATTTTGTTACCCAACAGATTTGGACACTACCCAAGAACAGCATATGAATAGCCATACTAAAACTGCTGTGGATGAGTTCTACCAGCAGCCAGTCTGAAAATGCTGGGATGGGGACTTATGGCCATGAGCATTATGTGCTGAATTACAAGAAGACAGTATAGGGGGATGTATTCTACTTTTTTCGGGGACCAGCTGTCCACTGCCATGTTGGTTGGAGGTAGGAACCTTTTTTTTTCTCCCCTCCGTATTTTGCATTAAACGCCCTGCCCTCAGCATGCTGAAAATGGCATCTGCGTCAGAGATTTAATGCTTTAAAGTTTTATTTCCCTGTGGTATCAAGCTGCACAACCATCGGCCACACTTGCCGACTCCATAAATCTCTTCCTGAGCTGTATCCTGCTTGTTCTCCCTCCCCCACGATGCCCTCCCTTATATGCTGCTCAAGATGTCTGCCAGGCAATGCATTTTTTAATCCCCAAAGTGCAAACGTTTATTGTAGCAGCAGATGCAGAAAAAGGAAAACAAACACTAGAAAAGATTCATTATTTCAGTTTCATTAATACTGTTTTTAGTAAAGTTGAGAATTCATGTGGTAAATGGCCCAATAAGGTTGCAGAGTCATTTGAAAATGGGTTTAGAGCAGTTACTGTAGAATTTTATTTGTCAGAAGGTACCTAAAGATTTAGTCTCTAAGGTGCCACAAGTCCTCCTTTTCGTTTTGCAGATACAGACTAACACAGCTGCTACTCTGAAACCTATAGATTTAAAAGTGTATCGTAAAAGAGAACTGAAAGCAAAGATAGTGCTTTATTTTGGTGCACACATTGCAAGGCAAAGCAGCACTCCTGGGACTGCCCATATAGCTAGTGTTTCTGTTCCACTCCTGCACCAGCGCAGGGACACTAGCTTGGTAAATAGCAGTGCTGTGTGTCTTCTTGGTTTGCCCATTGCCTTTTTGAACAGGACCCTTCTTAATTTTCTGGGGACTCATCTCAGAGTAACATCCACCACTGTAAGGACACCCTGCAGGGGTGCACATGCAATTACTAACCTGCTGACTGCTGCACCATACAACCTGCAACTTAAAACCAGCACAGCCAGTTCAGATGCCCAGTGTTTATTACAGGGGGCCTATACAAGGGGAAGTAATTTGGAAATCTTCTTACTGTCTTGAAGTGAACCTCAATGTGGGAAGAGACTATTGGAATAGCATTCTAAAATTGTGGGGAAGAAACATTTTTGGTTTGGTGATTAGGGTGGGGGACAGTAAGTACTTGTGCTCTTTCTTATTTCCTGTAGCACCTGTAATGTCATGGCCCACATGAAGAAGGGAGTTATCACCTGCAGAGTGGCTGACAAATCTTCAAAGGCAGGGGGGAATGGCAAGAGAAGATCTGTCCCAGGAACTATTGAATTCCTCCCAGCAGAGAGCCACATAGAAAGGCGCAATTGTGGAGGACTGGTTTCCTAGAGTATTCTCAAAGTATCTAAATGGATTGAATGGCCCTGGACCGGGACCTGAGGTAGACAGCTGTGATAGAGCACCTTTTAGTTATAAAGGTCAAGCACTGCACCCAAAGTTCCAGTGTTCTGCAAACTATAGAGAATGCACCATACTGAGACCACTATTTCAGTCAACCCTGGGACATGGAGAAGGAAAATTCTCTTGAGTGCATCACCTACAGGAGTTTGAGCATTCCTTACTTTGGCCATACCTCACATCCATTGCTGTTAAGGTTTCACCACATTCTCATTTAATTGGTTCTTCTCTCCCCTCCCCCCCCAAGATGTAGTGTTAACTGAATACATTCATTTTGCTTTAACTTGGCTGAAATGTTCCACTGAGGAACAGCTCAACCCATAAATGACATTGTATGTGTGGGGAGGATGTTATCAACTCCTTACCAGAAGAGAGCACAAACATATTTCTCTTTTTACGGTACATTTGTCACCCCCAGTGGAGGAGAACAATGCATCGCTGACCCTATTTCCTTGACCACTTGGGGCATTTTGTAGAGACTTACTCTCTCACTGTCTGTAATGTTCAGAAAGTCTCTCCACTTCCTGCTCCTACCCATCCTCCAGGATCTCTCCCTTACTCTTACAGATGTTATGTGAAATACAGCAGGCATTTAGCATACAATGAGGAGAAACATACAGCTTTTTCATAAAGCATCACCTGCCCTTCAGCCTTTTAAAAGTTCACTTCACTAGCATTCCATAGGTACTTGGAATACTCCTTTCTCTTGTCCAAGTGTCTGAGAGCCTTTGTAAGCCAAAAAAGCAGAGGGTAAGAAGAATCTCCCAGAATGACAGGAGGAATCATAACTCCATTCATTTCTGTAGTGGTCTGGGGAGCAAAAATGTCCTCCTTCATTCCAGTATCCAGGCCACAACTTCTAAATGTTCTGACATCATGGACTCTTCCAGACCACCCCCATGTTAATATTAGTGAATCTTTGGCAATGATCAAGGTCATGCAGCACAACAGAGAAATACCTTTTCCTCTTGATCAAGTCTTTGGCTTGAGGGGAAGTGTGTGTGTGTGTGTGTGTGTGAGAGAGAGGGAAATCATTGCCACACTCTGACATGGTATAGCAGAACCCTCCTCATAGCATCCATGATAACAACCCCAACAGTTGAGCTACCACCAACAACCAAATTAATTACTGACTGATAGTAAACAGGGGAGACTAACTTCCAGAGAATGATGGCAACATGCTTCTCCATGTTGAGGGGAACTCCCATGTTGGTGTTCTTCTGTAGCTACAGTGCTCACCCACACAGATCCTCTAGGAAAGTGGCCTTTGTTATCCTGAAGATCTGCTACCATTGCTGGTATCCTGGTCTGCATTACTACCCTCTTCCCCTAGACACTGCTAGTTGAACCAATGCTTCTGGGTTGGCCATTGAATAAAGTTGCTCCTGATAAATGCCCTACAGTAGTAACTACTTGATTTCATTCTCCTTCTCCTCTTCCATTAGCTGTATTACTACAGCATCAAAAGCCCTATGAGACCACAGAGCCAAATCTGTCAGTCTCCATGACTGAAAATGCATTTGCATCATCCCGTTTGTATTAATGGCTGTCATGATCATGGTGCTCAGCAGCCTGTCGTCCATACTACCTTGAAAATGATGCTGCCAAAATTAATGGATGACAGGAGGAGAAGTGTGGAAGTCTTAATTTGACCCTGAGATCCTGCCTTCTTATAGTTTCTGGTAGGCATACCACAGGCACCCTGGGAATAATCTGAATTTAGGGCTGAGTGATGGAACATTGCATTGTGGGGTACGTGCCCAGAATGCACTTGAGTTAACCACTCAGCAGAGCTGTGTGGATGTAATGATTAACAAGGAAAGTACATTGTGATGGTATAACAAAGTGGGGTGGAGGGAGGGAGGTAGTCCAATATATGCTACCATAATAACTGCCTCAGATTTTTATTCAGTATGACACTCTATGCATTCAATAATGGTGTTTTGTTACTTGACTGCTAGGAGCTTCAGAGTAATGTTTTTTTTATAGAACTTTATAAATGTTGACTAATCCACATAACACTGTTATGAGTCAGATAATTTACATCAAAGATTTTACTGTTCTAGTCACCGTTCCCTGCTCTGATGTATACTGCAGTCCCTCAGATTCATCTTGTACAATTGTTTAATGTATGTTGAACTCTTGTAGTGGATGAGTGTTTATCAGGGGCATTGTTGTTTTTACATTATCTGCTGAATAAATTTTTCTGACCATTATCATAGCCTGATCCAATGAATTTGTGCCCTGTTGTCTTTCTCGTTTCAATTAATTTGCCTCCCTTCTCTATCCCAGTTTGTTTAGTTTAAAAAGTTTGAATAAGCAAGAATAAATAAAATGTAAAACATGAAAGTATCAATCATTTTCAGTGCTGAACAGTGTGACTTTCCCTAATGACTTCTCTCCAGCTTAAACCTTTTGTCTACATGTACCATTAGCTTTATATATTAAGCTAATTACATTTAAATGTATATTGCCTGAACCATGGTAATGACCATGTAGATTAGTTTTTATGCTGTACTGTCACATTTTTGTTACTTCAGGTTAATTATATCCATGGCTCTTTTTCCTTTCTCTTCAGCTCTTTTTCAACCCTCAAAAGATCACATTTCTTAAATGCGACCTACTTTTTGGGAATCCATGCCTTTGAAGGAGTCAGTCAAGTAGCTTAAGACCAAAATATGAACTTCTTAAAAGCATGGTTATACCTGAAAGAGTGACAATGTGAAAATGCCAGAATAAGGGTGCCATGTTTGTTGACTGGAGAATAAGAAAGCTGTGTAGTATTTTTTTTTTTTTTACAAACATGCCCCTCAAGTTATCCATTTTGATATTAACAATATTTTTAAATTCTGCATTTTTATCAAAGTAACAGTATAATCCTGCCATTTACAAATATTTTGGTAATTTATTTCAAAATACGTGTCAGTAAGTATGTCTGTAACAATACAGACAACAAAAAAATTCAGGAAATATTTTTTGACAGTTTCCTTACTAGGTATATTAATACAGAATTTTGAGTAAAAATTCATTTAAACTACAATCCAGAAATGTATTTCCTGTACCCCTGAGAAGCATGGCGAAGGCTTGGGGGCACCAGGGGAAATGGAGGAGCTGAGGGAAAGGGAAGTAATTGCTGGGAAGAAACCTGGGAGTGAACCTGGAGGGTTGTTGGGTGTGGTGGGAGAAGTATGGAATATATGAATAAGCAAGATTTATTTTGTGGGGGAAGGGATTGTTAGGGAGTTGGGGAGCCTCACCCATGCAGACCCTGGCTGATCCCTAGCCTCTCCCGTTCAGTTCAGCACATCTGGCCCTGTCCACGTATGTCCCTGCACTCCCACTCCTCCCTGTCACCTCACTCAGCCAGGCATAGCTGCCCCTGTCTTCGTGTGTCCCTGCACCCCCATTCAGCTACACCCCCACCTCTCCTGACCCCATGTGTTCCTGCACCCCCACTTCCATTCAGCCACTGTCTCAATGTTGTCACCCCACTAGCTCGTGTGACACCCCCTCCCATATCCCATGCCTCCTCACCTGGCCCCACTGGTAGGGTGCTGTGAGGAAGGCAGCCTCTGCCCCCTCCCTCTCTGTGACTGGCTGCTCCTACCTGTGACCCGGCTGCCCTCTCTTTGGGTGCCACACCAGCCCCTGGTGGGCAAAAGATGTAATTGCAGCTTCCCGTCACCTCCCTGTCAAAATCAATTATCCCGCAGGGGAGTCTGCGGGGGATGTTAATTCTGGGCTTGTGCAGTGCGGCAGAATTCCACCAGGAGTAACTCGAGAGGGATTAAAGGGGTCTAAGATGTAGCCATTATATTGACTTTCAATAATGTTCATAGCCATTTTGTTTAACAAATGAAAAAATGCTTTTTTCTAACTGCCAGCATTGCAAATTCAACCTGAGATCAGAATCTCTCGATTCTGCAGTTAGAACATAGAGCCCAATCCTACATTCCTTATTCAAGTGAGGTTTATAAGATGAGAACTTAGTTCATAGTTTTGTTGATGAGTGATTAATTGCAGTTTTAATCGCCCTGTTAAACAATAGAATACCAATTAGATATTTTGGATGTTTTTCTACATTTTCAAATATATTGATTTCAGTGACAACACAGAATACAAAGTCTACAGCGCTCACTTCATATTTTTATTACAAATATTTGCACTGTAAAAATGATAAATGAAAGAAATAAGATTTTTCAGTTCCCCTCATACAAGTACCATAGTCCAATCTCTTCATTGTGAAAGCACAACTTACAAATGTAGACTTGTTTTGTTTCATAACTACACTCATAAACAAAACGGTGTAAAACAATTAGAGCCTACAAGTCCACTTAAAGAGCGTGATCAGCATGGATGCATGAAGCATGAATGGACATATGAATCTGTAGCTCATCTAGCACGTAAATATTTTGCAACGCCAGCTACAACAGTGCCATACAAATGCCTGTTCTCATTTTCAAGTGATATTGTAAACAAGTGGGCAGCATTATCTCCGGCAAATGTAAACAAACTTTGTCTGAGCGATTGGCTGAACAAGAAATAGGACTGAGTTGACTTGTAGGCTCTATAAAGTTTTACGTTGTTTGTTTTTATTTTTGAATGCAGTTATTTTTTTGTACATAATTCTACATTTGTAAGTTCAACTTTATTGATAAAGAAACTGCCCTACAGTACTTGTATTAGGTGAATTGAAATACTGTTTCTTTTGTTTTTTACAGTGCAAATATTTGTAATAAAAAAAATAAAGGGAGCATTGTACACTTCGTATTCTGTGTTGTAATTGAAATCAATATCTTTGAAAATGTGGAAAACATCAAAAAATATTTATATAAATAGTATTGTTTAACAGCACAATTAATCGCTTGACAGCCCTAGTGGGTAGAACAATAACCATCTATATTTACATATATTTAGTATGGATTATATACAGTTTGATTTGCAAAGTAAAATGTGTTTGTAGGGCACAGTATTTTATGCTTGCGTTGGCTCTGCAGCAACAGTTAACTAAGAAACTCTATTCTCAGGGACTTAATTTTCAGTACAGGTCTGTTCCTGCTGCGGCCTTTAAATCCCATTTTGAGAATCCCACCTGTGCTGTTCTTTCTGCCTGTCCGATTTTCTTAGTAAGGCTTGTAGGAACAGCAACAAATATTTTTGGGGATGGTGGTGGGAGTGCAGAAAGGATAGATGGAGAGAAACTGCTATTTTTCATATCTTTACTCTTCATTTTACTTCCAGTACCCAAGAGTGATGGAACAAGTGAAGATGATGAAATACAAAACATGTGGGAAGAACAGCAACTAAACAAAGGAGTCAGACTCCCACAGGTAATGTGCTTTTTCTTTCACTGTTGTTGCTTTTTGCTGCTATGCAAGATAGTTTGGTTTGGGAGCAATGTTAGAGCTCCTTCTTCCTTGGTCATTGGATATGCTAATTCATTAGGTGTGAGGAGAATAGAACTAGGCGAAGACTGTGCTAATGCAGATCAGCAATTTCTCATTGCTAGCTGATCAGAGGAACAGCATTGTCATTAGCCTCAAAGAAAAGGTGTATTACCCACACTATTCAGTGCAGAGGGAGACTTTTTGGAAAGGCAGAGAATCTGAGTCAACTTAAAGTCTGCGAATGAAACTCTGAGCTAAAGTATCTGCTGTGAAGGATCTTAAAAACAAAAGTACTCACAAACCAAAACGTTAAAATGCCATCCTCTAAAACCTACACTATTAAACTATCAATAAGGGAAGGGAAGAAACACTCATAACACTTACTGTGCCCCTCACCTCCCCCCGCCCTCTAGTACTAGATTGGTTATTTAACCTTTCTAAGGGCACTTTCACGTGGCGTTCAACGGGGTTCCATCTTGTTTCCCTTTCAGTTCAGTGTGTATGTGGGCATTTGGGTGGCTTTGTAAGAGTATGAACTATGGCACTTACAATGTGCTGATGTCCAAATAGGTGCTCCTTTAGCTAGTCTAGGTGAGATTGGGGCAGGTAAGAGAAACAGTCTGTCTAAAGCTCAGTCTGGATATGATTGAAGGCATGCTGGGTTTATTTTCCCACTGTGTGTTTACAATCTGGTATTATTGGATACCCAGCTCCTATTAGACAATTGTGTGGCAGTTATTTCTGGAAAGGCATTTTTTCCTCTGTCTGACCAGCAAATTGCAGCCATTTCTTTCAGGTTCAGAGTTCGTTGCCATTATGCATGACTTTGTCACTTCAAGACTAGATTAGTGTGATACTGTCTACGTTGACCACACCTTAAATCAATTTGGAAACTGAAACTGACCTAGAATGCAGAACATCTTTTCATAGAATCCTAGAATATTAGGGTTGGAATAGACCTCAGGAGGTCATCTAGTCCAATCCCCTGCTCAAAGCTGTGACTGGCTGAAAGCTTTTCTAAGCTGTGATTGGCTGAAATCCTTCTTTTGTCACAATTACTTACTTTCAAATTGTGGAATCTGTCATATATTCGCCGATTGTCATAAAATTTAGAGTTTACTTAATTTATTTTTACCCTATAGTAAATGCCTATTATATTTGCAGTCTGTTGCTTAATGCTTATATATGCTGTAGCCCTTCTATATTATTAACTGTTTAAGCCTCATGAGGAGATCATGAATTATTCCCAGAAATCTTGCATATAACCATGTGGTTCTAAAACAAAATTTAAAGGAAAAAAATGAGAGCATATTTACTGTTGGCTGTAAAGATGGGATTAAAACATATTAAAAAATATTATTTACCAGGTCTCAGTTTTCAGGATGGAAGTGTTCTGTACAATCCTGGAAATTGTAGGGATTTATCAGTTCATGAAGAGAGAGGAAAAACGCATAGCTAGAACTAAAGAGATATCTGGATAATCAGCTTTACCTGTGTATACATTTTACACAGGAAACATCTAATTTTTTAGAAATTTGTATTACATTATGTACATCATAACAACTTGCTGTATATTCTAATCATTGGGCCTGCTAAAGCTTACAGTTCCAGAGGAAAACAAGTTCATAAAAATTAACAATGTTATTTCTCACAGGGAATTAATGTAGACACTTCTCTACATAAATCTCGACCCATGAAAATAAGGTTTGATCCCTCTGTTTCACTGCCACCTGTGAACCTGGAAATTGTAAAGAAGCGACTGACTACAAGGTAAGTGTTACTAGTGTGAAACACAAGTTTTGAACATTCTGTGTTACATACAGTGCTGTTACACTGGTTCATAAAAGACATGACATCTCATTCTGTCTCTACTCTTTGACTCTTTCTTCCACGTACTAGAGGATATTAGCATTATTGTTTTATGTGTAATGTACTTGCTGCTATATTCAGAATAGTAGTAAGATTTTTGTTTCGCTTGGTAGTAAACATCGCCACAGTGTTCATCTGGAGCTTTTTGTTAAAATCTCTCCCACTGTTCTACCACTAGTGCAGAGCCATGGGATGGAGTACTAATGTAGACTAAACAATTCTGTGTTCACGCCAAAGTCATGTGAACATGGTGTCAGAAGGGCTTGATGAAATGTTGATTAAAATGCTTTCCGCTCTTCTCTGCTAGTACCCCCCACTGTTGCTAAAACTGGTGGTAATACAGTTGTGGGAGATTAAGCAAACAGCACAAAGCTCAAATCTTAACACCAATTTTAGGTCCTTGTCCTGTGGAAAGTTGTGCATGGAGAGACCCATACAGAGCCCTACTGACATCAGCTTTAAAAATTGTGGCTAAATTGGCTTGAAGAATTTTGCAGCGGTTAATGTTTTTTTGCCTATTTTCCTGGAGAAGATAAGTTAAATTCTGGGTTCACTTAACTATAGAATCAAATTAATAAAAGAGAATCAGGATATTAGGGGTTACAGTGGACGAGAAGCTTGATGAGAGTCAACAGTGTGCTCTTGTAGCCAAGAAGGCCAATGGCATTTTGGGATGTATAAGTAGGGGCATTGCCAGCAGATTGAGGGACGTGATCGTTCCCCTCTATTTGACATTGGTGAGGCCTCATTTGGAGAACTGTGTCCAGTTTTGGGCCCCACACTACAAGAAGGATGTGGAAAAATTGGAGAGAGTCCAGCGGAGAGCAACAAAAATGATTAGGGGACTGGAACACATGACTTATGAGGAGAGGCTGAGGGAACTGGGATTGTTTAGTCTACAGAAGAGAAGAATGAGGGGAGATTTGAAGCTGCTTTCAACTACCTTTCCAAAGAGGATGGGTCTAGACTATTTTCAGTGGTAGCGGATGACAGGAACAAGGAGTAATGGTCTCAAGTTGCAGTGGAGGAGATTTAGGTTGGATATTAGGAAAAACTTTTTCACTAGGAGGGTGGTGAAACACTGGAATGCGTTACTTAGGGAGGTGGTAGAATCTCCTTCCTTAGAAGTTTTTAAGGTCAGGCTTGACAAAGCCCTGGCTGGGATGATTTAGTTGGGGATTAGGCCCTGCTTTGAGCAGGGGGTTAGACTAGATGACCTCCTGAGGTCCCTTCCAACCCTGATATTTTATGATTCCATATTAGGAACATAAAAAATTAGGTCACCTACTTGCAAGCCAGCAGGGATAAGAAATAATTTAATTTGACCATAATGTGTTTAAAATATGCATAATTACAGAAGGCTGAATTGAACATGATTTTTTAAAATTGTGATTGTATTATTTTCCTTTAGTTTGATTTGACCAGCTCGTCAATAATAATGACTACTTTTTTGATGTATTGCTTAGTTTTTCAAAGTTGGAAGCGGAATCCCACTTTAGGAAAATGAGGCAAACTGTAGCCCACATTCAATCCTGCCTTGCAGTGCTAAAAGCCTGTCCAAAAAGAGCAGGCACTCAGAGTGGATTGTGCAGATTTTTAGGATATCTGGCCTCTCCTTTCTTACATGACCAGATGAACAGTGAAATAGTCAACTGTGTTGATGCTGAAGTATCATCATTAGCATCTAAGCTACCACCCATGTAAATGAAAGCTGAGATTGGAGAACAGTGGAAAGGCCAGTCCACACTCCACACATTGGGAAATGCTGGCATGATTAATTCTTAGTAGACTTTTAAATTGAGTGGGACTAATGGAAGTAAGTACTGTTGTTACTAACCTAGAACTAGACTTGCTGCATAAGAACATAGCAGTGGCCTTACTGGGTCAGACCAAAGTTCCGTCTAGCCCAGTATCCTGTCTTCAGACAGTGACCAATGCCAGGTGCCCCAGAGGGAATGAACAGAATGGGTAATCAAGTCGTCCATCCCATCACCCATTCCCAGCTTCTGGCAAACAGAGGCTAGAGACACCATCCCTGCCCATTCTGTCTAATAGCCATTGATGGACGTATCCTCCATGAATTTATCTAGTCTTTTTTGAACCTGTTATAGTCTTGGCCTTCACAACATCCTCTGGCAAAGCGTTCCACAGGTTGACTGTGCATTGTGTCAAAAAATACTTCCTTTGGTTTATTTTAAACCTGCTGCCTATTAATGTCATTTGGTGACCCCTAGTTCTTGTGTTCAGAGAAGGAGTAAATAACACTTCCTTGTATCCTTTCTTCACATCAGTCATGATTTTATAGACCTCAATCATGTCCCCCCTTAGTCATCTTTTTTCCAAGCTGAAAAGTCCCAGTGTTATTGATCTCTCCTCATACGGAAGCCGTTCCATACCCCTAATCATTTTTGTTGCCCTTTTCTGAACCTTTTCCAATTCCAATATATCTTTTTTGAGATGGGGCGACCACATCTGCACACAGTATTCAAGATGTGGACATACCGTGGATTTATACAGAGGCAATGTGACACAATGACTGAGGGAAAAACTTAAGGTGGCTTAACTTGACTTTAAGTTGTTTACAGATGTTTGGGGTTTTTTCAGAATGACATCATTACAGGACCTTCATCGTGCTCACCAGAGGGAGCATGAAAAATATACACAAGACATTGAAAGCTCGAAGAGTACCATCCAGGAGTTAGAGAGGTCTTCAAATGCAGCTCTGAATTACAAATTCTACAGGTCTATGAAAACTTACATGGAAAGCCTTATAGACTGTTTGAATGAAAAGGTATCAACTTTTTGTTTTTCTTCTTTAAAGGGGATGAGGTGAGGTTTGTGATATTCAGCCAATAGAATAGTCGCCTTCCTCAAGAAGTTAACATTTTGTTGCCACCAAGTATGGGGAAACAATATTAAAGGGAAACCATAAATTTAAAAGCACTTCTGTCAGAAGGCTATCTTTTATGTAATGCTTAAGATTGTTTAATGAGCCTAAAGAAAATACTTAATTTTCTTATTTTCCATTTGTCGTCTTTGGGGGGGAATAGTAAAACTGTGGTGGTGATTGTAAAATCCAAGTCTTGTCAGAGGGAATTTGCTGTTAACATAATACCCTAAAAGTACTTTAAAAAAAAAAAAATCCCTTTTAAATATTCTGTCCCTGTGTCATCACTACATTGGGCAGCTTTGGTATTTGACAGATGGCTTGAGTATAATTTTAGATCTTGTATTACTCTGCCAACAACCAGATTTTTTCAAAATAAAAATATTGGACTAGAATAAGGATATGGGGGGGGAGGGACACATTAGTTATAAATTATGCTGTTTTAGGTAAAAATTGAAAATTAAATTGACAGTCTCACCTAAATGCTCAGTTGTGTGCATCTCAAAACTTCCATAGGAATGTACTCAGTATTATAGAATGGACGGGGTGAGGGTTTCAAGTTTAGGTTGAGATGGATTAGCAGAACTGGGGGGGAATTCTTTTACACCACCTGGCTGTGCTATATCTAACTAGCTGAAGCACACCTGTTTGCTGTAGCCTTCCCATCATAACCATCATGTGCATTTAAAAGGAGTGGGAGGGCAAGCAAAGCTTCTTACAATCTGGGTGAGGCAAAGAATACATAGCAGTATCCACCCAGGACATAATGGCAATGTGGTCTGCATTACTGTATTTAGAGCTTAGGTGCTACCTTTAAAACCTCTATTTAAATATCAGAAAGAGGGAGAATAACTGCAGATTGCTCATTAAAATGAGCAAGGTATTCATTCAAAAATCTGAAATGTTAAAAAAAAAAAATTGTCCATTTCACAACTTTATTTCAAATTATTAAGTAAACTGTAAAAGGAAAGTAAGGCCATGTGAATTAAAAGCTCCAACAAGTCTTTCTGAAACCTTTTGGATGAGAGAATTCTCTAATTTCTTGTGATAGGAGGATAATTCTCTGTCTTCCTAGTACTGGAACAGCTGAGTTAGTTTAGACTACTGATGATTTTTAATTAGCTCGGAGTGTAACATGGGCCTGTAAAGCTCACCTGAAATGAACCAGGTGAGTCACACTTTTTTCAACATGCTAGGATGGATTTGTGAAAGCCCAGTGGATTTCAAGATCTCTAGTAGGGGTGATTCAGGTAGGGGTATCCATGTTGTGTTTAATTTTTACCCTGAAAAAGTGACTGTGTTAATGGAACCTTACTTCACCTTAGTTCCTTGTGGGTGGATGTTCTAAGTCAAGTCATATTTACTTAAATGACAAAAATAAGATTTTTACTGCTTTTATTCCTTCTATCCCTGCAAAGCCCAACATAGCTAAGGTTGATTTGGTATCTATTCCATCTTGTGCATCATGAAAAAAATAGCTCACTAAGTTCCAGGCAGTTACTCCCGTATAAGCCTACTGGAGGCATTGAAATTGAAAAGGGGTCTGATAGCCTAATTTGAAGACAGGTATAATACAGGTATAACTGAGGGTGAAATTTTGGCCTACTGAAGTTTTATTACTGGTGGTGATGTGTGAAATGCATGAAAGACAGCAGCTTGATTCCCAGAGACCCTATTGCGCTTGTAAGGGCAGCAGTTAGAAAAAAGCATCTTTTTATTTGCAAACTGAACACATTACCTACCATTCTAAATATTCTGTGTGTTCTTTCACATGTCTCAATAGATGGTACTTCTCAGCTTATCATGTACTGTGTCTGAAAGGTCTAACCAAAAGGAACAGGAACTTATTACTCAAATTGGAAAAAATAATGTATATGGTTCATCATTGTTATGTATAAAAATAATTGGGGAAACTACTTCTGCTTTTGCACATTTTTGCTTTCAGCTTTTCTTTTGTAATTCTAATAGTTAACTGAAAATGTAATATCTATTGAATATATTTCAGCTACTTCATATTAATGAACTGGAGTCAGCTATGGAGATGCTACTTCAACAACAAGCCATAACTCTCTTGAAACGTAGGCAAGAGGATCTGAAAAATGAATCTGCTTATGTTCAGCTGCTATCAAGTTAGCATGACTTTTTAAAAATAAATTTTCAGCAAGTGTGTGAGTGCGTGCGTGTGTGTGTGTTATATATATAATATAATGTGCAGATCAAGGTACAAGTGAGTAGCCCACGTGTAAGGCTATGGCTACACTGGCACTTTACAGCGCTGCAGCTTTCTTGCTCAGGGATGTGAAAAAACACCCCCCTGAGCGCAGCAAGTTGCAGCTCTGTAAAGCGCCAGTGTAAACAGTGCTCTAAAATAATCCCCTCAAGGAGGTGGATGACCAGGAGCGCTGGGAGACTTCTTTCCCAGCGCTGGCGCACGACCACACTCACACTTCAAAGCGCTGCCACGGGAGTGGTCCCGCGGCAGGACTTCGAAGTTTCGAGTGTAGCCATGCCCTAAGATGCTTTCCAGCCCAATCAGGCTATTCTCTACTAGCTTAAAAGGAGATCTGAAAAGGAACAGTTGATATTGGTGGACAAGACACGGTGAGCACTCAACAGCAACAGAAGGCAGCACTAGTGGAGGACTAGTCTGGTGCTGTTCTTTATCACTAGATATAGGTTCCAAACCAGATAGTAATTATTCATAATACTTATGGTTAGAATAACTTCTTGAATTGGAATAAAATTGTTGCCTAGTGTCAGTTTTGACTTACAAACGGAGAGAAGTCTCTAGCATTCGTTGTCACTGTCAGCACTGTCAATAGTGTGTTCCATAAGACGTTCATTTCCATCTCCAACAGATACCAAAAAGCAATAACTTCATCACTCTCACTCTGACCTCATACTGTGATATATCAAGAAACTGGCACTTCAGATTGTTACACAGTCCATAAAGGTGTAATGTTGTTCTGCTTTAACATTGATAAGTTTCTTCATGCCATTTCTAAAATAATAAACTGTAGAGGGGAAAAAATGACTATGGACAAAAATATTTTGTATTCAAGAAAATGGAAATTTCAAACCAGCTGATGTTGTTATACAACTATTTCTACTCATAGGAAAGAATGTCCAGTCAACTGACGACAGCTTGGAAGATGATGAAAAAAGAAAGCAGCTCCTGGAAGAGTGTGAGGCTCGAAGGTAATTATAAAACATAAATCATTTGATCACACATTGTTAGAGTAACTTCCTATTTTTCATGCAGTGGTGAATGTAAATATGCAGGATTTCTAACCGTGAAGCTTTTGTTTAACATTTTTCCTGGATTCTGCCTAATTTATTACCAAAAGGAATACTAACTCGTTTGCCTTCCAAAACTTAGAATGGGACTATTTGGAGTACACTTTCACATGTTGTTACTTAATGATCATGTTACTTGGGATCTGAACATCAATGCTTTTGTTCTCACCAGAGATGAGAACAATACTAATGCATTGGTATTAAGAAAATGTCTTATGAGATGATGGAAAAAGCTACAATTCAATATCAGTATTGTGAACTTGTGTAGAAACAAACTTTAGATCATTGTGTGGGCAACCAAAATGAAAATGACCTGTTAAATCATCTCATTCAGTCAGTAGCTTTTCCCCTCAGCTCATAAGAAATTTTCTTGATCTCATGTTAGATCCTAGACTACTATCATTGTAGAGGACCTTTCTGTTTAAAAAACAATAAATTATTAGCAAGCATTTGAAAGCATGTAAAATGAGCAAAGAAACTTGTTGTTTACTTAAGTGCAATAAAATAAGGTAACGAATTGAGTCTATTGCATATAGAAGAGGCATTGTCTTTGGAATTAAAATAGATGAAAAATAGTACAAGAAGAAGATTACATTTAGGTAAATTATTTAGAACAGTTAAGTGATAAGTAAAAGTATTACATTGATGGAAAAGATTTCTTTTCATGTAAACAACTGAGCATTTTTCAGAAGCAGATTTATGGGTTCTGGAATCTGCAGTCTAATATATGACCCCTTTCTATGTTTATAGTTAAATTGGAACTCAACTACATCTTTGAATTTTTACATGGTCTGTTGCACAATGAAGTCGTGAGTGCTCCAATTCTAGGTCTTATGGGCTCTGCGATTTATGGTGCCAGACCCCATTATGCACCAGAGCTCTCAATTAAAAGAAATACTGTATCATGGTCCAGCATAGAGACAACTGAACCTGAAGTTCCATATTAAAGGTGGGGTGGGAGATGTCAGGAAAGCTGGGAGTGAAGTGGGGGTAGAAGCTAATGGAGAAAAGGTTAGAAGGCCCTACTAGGGGCACACATCCCCAAAGATAAGTGTCCTGATAGTCTTAATCTCAGTTTCCAAAACCATTTTATACAAGTTTTCCACTTCCTTTTAGCTCCGCTTTATTACAAAGTAGCTGTTTTTGCTCTGTTATTCTGTGCTGATTATATTTCCTTTTGCATGCTCTTTTATCTTCACTTTTATTGTAAAATAATCTGCCTTCCTAAAAGTTTTCTCTCTTAGATATAGATATGATGATGGGTCTCTAATATGAGTTCATTACAAAATATAGGACATGCAGAAGGCAAACAAGAGAGAGTTTTGGGAAATCTGATCACCATGAGGGCATGTCCAGTGATGATGAGCTATCTGCAGCAGAGATGACTGACTTCCAGAAAAACAAAGGTCAGTGACTGCCTTGTAATGAACAAACTCCTTACATATTTCTAAGATAAAGCTAAGTTGTTTTTGAAAAAGAATGTCTTTAAATTAGTACATGTAAATTGAAAACTGAGTCATGCACTTATAGTGAGGAAATATACTGGAGCAACTTTGATTCTGAAATTAATAATTTTTTTGTTGATGGGAATATGGAGAACATACAATGGTGTGTTGGGGTATATTGTTTTTGTCAGTATGAGTTTGGGGTGGCCACATTACTTGCATACAGTGAAGCCATAAGTGAATTATACAGGTTATCCCAAAAGAATTCTGACAGAACCTGATGCCACACTACCATGTATTTTGTATGCCGCTTATTTTTAAAGAAATTTTTTTTCAGCTCTGTAGAGACTATATTTTTCCCCCTGCGGTTAAAAGTAGGCTTCTCTAATGACCTTGAGTATAAATCAGGTGTGGGCAAACTTCTTGGCCTGAGGGCCACATCTTTCAAAACTGTATGGAGCGCCGGGTAGGGAAGGCTGTGCCTCCCCTGACTGCCCCCCTCAGAACCCCTGACCCACCCAACCCCTCCACTCTTTGTCCCCCACCCTGCCCCCTTACCATGCTGCTCACAGCACCAGGACTGGCAGCCATAAGTAGTACAGTGTAAGTAGCACATTCTTACAGGGAGCAATTTAATACACTACACCGGTGGCTCTCACAGCTGCGCTGCCTGGCAGGAGCTTGCAGTCCTGCTGCCCAAAGCGCTGGCGGCATGGTGAGCTGATGCTGCAGGGGAGGGGCAGGGGCTAGCCTCCCTGGCCGGGAGCTTAAGGGCCGGGCAGCACGGTCACGCGGGCCAGATGTGGCCCGCAGGCCATAGTTTGCCCACCTTTGGTATAGATGCACAGGCTTCAGCGGGAGAGGAAAAATATAATTAACTTACTTACAGCGCTTTTAAAATGATTATCCATTGGCAAAACTATGTTGTAGTTTTAAAGTCTGAAATTTTGATTCCTTCTAAGGTTAGAAGCAAATCCTGCACTGAATAGCTGTGGGTCTATCTCCCCATTGCTTTTTGGTATAGAGCTTGCAAGATATTGATCATTTTAACCTGCAGCTAGTTCAAGACTGAGCCTTGTCTGTCCTGAGTTTTGTGCCAATAGAATTCTTTTTTGAGTGGTGTGGGAGGTCCATATCTTTTGGGGGAGAATTTTAAAAAATAAGGATCAACTGTTAGAAGCTTCTCAGGGAGTTGGAATATTAGAATAAATTCTAGCAGAGACCGAGAAGAGGAAGAGTCAAAGAGTCATGAAAAAAGCAGTTTATCACATGGATACATTCTCCATGTGTGCTGTCTGTGCATATTCTGTTTTAGTCTGTGCATCCATATATATTTTTAGTAATATTTCTGTATATACAAATGTATTTTATCCACAGATAATATCTTACGGGAGAGTAAGAAAATATGTGAAGATGTGCATGCAGATTTTTGCAACATCAGGAATATTCTGTTGAAATTTCAGCAATGGAGACAGAAGTTTCCTGACTCTTATTATGATGCTTACATTAGTTTATGCCTGCCTAAACTCTTAAGCCCATTAATCAGAATTCAGTTAATAGGCTGGAATCCTCTTGAGGTATGTTCACTAGTAAATGTTTTCACTTTTCAATTGGCACACTGTACTTTATTATACACATACTGCACTAGCATTCCATCTGCTTTTGTGTGCAATTCAGGGTTAGATCTAATCTGTAAAGCCCTATGTTATATGGGGACTCACTACCTTAGGGACCTGCCTTTATCCATAGGCATCACTTTCAATAGCTCTTATCTGTGGAGTGCAATGTATCTAAAAGCAGTTCAACAGACTTGTATGTGGGAACTGGAATCTGAGTGTTTATGGTGAAGTGTTTCCAACTGGATTTTCTGTCTCTAGGGGGTCTGCCAGAGCATGAGTTTACAGATGTCAATGAACTGTGCAAGTGTTAGGCCAAATATGGGTTGTGTGTGAATAGTTTTGGTATATGTCATAATAAAATAGAGTTAAAGGTGTGGAATGGTACTCTCATGCTTTCTCTTGTCATGCCCCCAGATGCCTTAGAATGGATATGTTAAATGGGTAAAGATCTATTGTGTTACCCTCATATTTGAAAAATCTGGCAGGGATTTTTGAAAAAGACCCAACTCCCATAGAACTCCTTGAGACCCATTTTATCCTATCAAACTAACTTGATTTTTTTTTTAAATGAGATCACAGATTTGATTGATAACGGTAATAGTGTTGTTGTAATATACTTAAACTTCTGTAAAGTGTTTGACTTGGTACCATGTGACATTTTTGAATGCAAAACAAGAACATTATAAAATTAAGATTACACACATTACATTGATTAAAAACTAATAGATCTCAATGTAATTGCAAATGGGGAATCATCAAACGAGTGTGTTTTTAGTGGGGTGCAGTAGGGATCACTTCTTGGCCCTACACTATTTGACATTTTTATCAATAATCTGGAAATAAAAATAAAATAATACTTACAGGATGGGGGACTCTATCATAGGAAGCAGACACTCTGAAAAAGATTTGGGGGTCATGGTTGATAATCAGCTGAGCATGAGCTCCCAATGCAATGCTTTGGCCAAAAGGCCTAATGCAATACTTAAGTGTATCAAGGAGAATCTTGAGTGGGAGCAGAGTGGTTATTTTACCTCTGTATTTGGCACTGGTGCAGCTGTTGCTGGAATACTGTATCCAGTTCTGGTGCCCGCATTTCAAGAAGGAAGTTGATAAACTGGAGAGGGTTCAAGACATGCCTTATAGTGATAGGCTCAAGGGTCTCAATTTATTTAGCTTAACAAAGAAAAGGTTAAGGGGTGAGTTAATTACAGTCTGTAAGTACCTGCATGCGAAACAAATATTTGATAATGGGCTCTTCAATCTAAAAGAGAAAGGTATAGCACAATCCAATGGCTGGAAGTTGAAGATAGACAAATTCAAAAGAGGTAATTTTTAACAGTGAGAGTAATTAACAATTGGAACAATTTACCAAAGATAGTGGGGGATTCCCTATTGCTGGCAATTTTAAAATTGAGATTGGATGCTTTCCTAAAAGATATGCTCTAGGAATTATTTCTGGAAAAGTTCTGTGCCCCCTGGTCTACAGGAAGCCAGACTTAAATGATCACAGGCATTGTGATCTACAAAGAGTTCAACGTTTTAATCCTAATTTTCTTCCTAGTCTTCTTGCTTTGCCATTCGACTTGCTTAGCCATTCAACTTTCTGCCTTTTCAGCCAACATCTTTTTGATTTGTCTTTTTGGTCTTGGTTGTTCAGGTAGTTCTTGGCTTTCGTTAAAGTGAAAGCTCAATTTTTGTATTTTGCCCCTGATATCCTGGGAGAGAATTGTCATTGGGAAATCCATCAGTGAAAATACTTGGACAAAAATGCCCTTTGTGAGTCCTCAGTGGCCTGATGTCGCTCACTGATTGTTTTTCTTAAGCAGAATTTCATAGATCTGAATGAGATGCCGTGGTTCAGAGCTATAGAAGAATTTAGCGATGCCAAAAATATGCCACAATCCAAGAGAAATGATGACCCTGATCAAACAATTTTGCCTACAGTCACTGAGAAAACTATTCTTCCTAAAATTACAGGTATGTTAAGACTGCCTCAATAGTGTTAACTATAGATAGGCAATTAAAATGTGAGCTTTCTTGCTCAATTTAACCAATATTATTTAGTTACTAATAATGGTAAAGCTAGATTCCTTGTTGCAGCACATTAGCTGTTATATAGCTCTTCAGGATGAGGCCAAGGGGCTGTGGTGACAAGCACATTGTAAGTAGGGAGGTTGTCATTCAAACAGTAGATTTCTTGGAGAAGAGTGGAAAGGAAAAGGGGTTTTCCATATGAAAACAAACATCATAGCTATTGTAACCCACACACGTTTAGTGTGGTACTCTGTCAGTTTCTGGTGGTGACTGGGCCACAGATGGAGGTTGATGAGCCTACTAAAGCTTTGGCTAACCAACTTGGGTCTCTTAGTTCAGGAAGGTAAAGGCTTCTGCTTTATGATTTGGATGTCCCTCCCTGCCACCAGTGACTCACCCAAGGATGTTGTGTTACACTGTTCATAAAAGCAGGCTGTTTGATCAAATAGAGAGCCTAATCAATCTAAGCAGATACGACTGCTTTCTAGGACCATTTTTGTATATTTTATTCTCACTGCCTTCTTTGTCCAATGTCTGTGTAGCGAAGTTAAAACAAAGTGCTATATCAAATATTTTCCTTTTCTAATTTAAGCAGTTAGTTCTTGAGACCGTTCATATTTTTTACATGATATTTGGTAAGGGTCTTTTTATGTCTATAAATAAATAAGGTATGCTGAATGATTTAAATTCGACTCCTAAAGTCAGTAGGAAGTTGTATGTTGTTGCAGATCACCTCTTGAATTAATCATAAATTACATTGAGTTCGCAATGTGTTCTTGGTTTGTCTATATGCTTCTTATGGCCCCTCATCATAGCATCTAGGTACCATGTACATAACTGAGTAGGAAGTATTTGTCAGAACTGTACAGGCAAATAAATGTACATTTTTTAAGTAGACCTATTCATGTATAAGTATATGCAAAATTAGCAGAACTCACTTGCAAAATGTACTTTATATTCACTGAATATATGGATTCTTCAGACAAGTAGCTCCATTGTGTGTATGGTTATATAAAGATTTGTATATACTTACTTGTCTACATAAGGAATTAATTACTACTAAGGACATTTCTGCTTTCTGGGGCATCCTAAGCTACACAATGCATCCCTCATGCAGTAGATGAGGGAATGTCAGGCATAATATAAGCTGCTCCAAATATATATTGAATGAGGAGCCATGGATCTATGGTTGTGAGTCAGACCAACTTTCTGTCCTTGTATTTTTTTTAAGTCCCAGTTATGGAAATAACCTTGATAAAAAGAATGTCTCAATTAGCCTCTTGAAATCAGAGTCTACAACAGATACGTTTGAATGGAGGTATGAGGGGGTTGGACCAAACCTAAGAGGGAGTTCATTGCCTGAAACCAGAGAGCCTCACAGTGCCTGCCATTGGCCACTGATGGAAGACCGGATACTGGGTTAGATGGACCATTTGCCTCACCCAGTATGACCATTCTTATGTTCTAAAACTAAAACTAGAATCAGGTGCTAGAATGTGAGAACCATGTGGGAGCCTGAGTCAAGTAGTTGGAGAAATGACCCAATTCAAGATTCATGTTCTTGGAAAGAGTGAAATGAGAGAGACTGGAGGTGGATGACTCCATTCAGATGGTATCACAGCACCCTATTCAGGAAGGTAAAATGATACTCTCATAGAGGGAGTTGTAGTATTCCTCTACAGAAAGGGAACATAAGCTCTACAGGAATGGGGACGAGTTAACCTAAGAATTATAAGAGCATGTTTGGTTACAAATAGTGCTAAAGTAACTATCATCCGGTGTTATGTATCTACCAGTGAACATGATGAACAAGTAAAAAATGCATTGCATAGTAAGTTGAAGGATGTATTAAACCAGGTTCATACTGATGATGTCATTCTGGTTATGGATGACATGAATCCAACAACCTCAGATGTGAGCACTGCATGAGTAAATACAGAAGTGGGCGGACAATGGTGATTTACTAAGCTGTGTAGTATGTATAACCTGTACATTAAAGGGACACTTTCCCTCATCTAGGAAACAAAAACTAATATGGAAGTCAAATGGTGGAATTATCACATTGCCATCGGCAGATGGTGGAGAAGATAAGTGCTGGATACATAATCTCTTACAAGTAGTGATGTAGGAAATGACCACTATGTTGTCTTTTGTCTTTGGAACAGTTAGAATAAAGCTAAAACGACAAGCTAATAAGAAAAGAGGGATGGAATTCCTTGTGAAGAAACTGTCTGACCTGGGAATTAGGAGGGATTTTAAAATCTAGCTCTCAAGCAGATTCCAAGAGCTGTGGGTAATGAATGATGATATAGAGTAACAATGTGCTCATTTTAGAAATGTCTGTCAGGAAGCTTCCACAACTTCATTTGCGCCAAGGAGATCAAGGAAAGAAGAGTGGATACATTCAGGCACGTGGAAATAGATTGAAGAAAGAAAACCTTTAAAAAGAGGCAAGCACAGGTGACATATGAAAAACAATGCACATTGCAAGGAGCATATGTAGAGAAAGGTAAAGAAGTTGTGATGAGAAGGTAAGAGAATGGCTTGACAAAAAAGTTAGAGAAGCTGAAGGTGCATCAGTGAGAGACAAAACTGTTCCATATGTATAAGCAATTATCATGGTTCCAGAGTCACAGTGGTATTGTAAAAGTGAAAGATGGAAGACAGTTAACAATGGAAGCAGAACAATGGTGAGAACATTTTAAGGAAGTACTCAACCAACCACAGCCAACAGTTCTAATCAATGGATGTGACGAAGGTGAAGAATTAAATATCTCACTGCTAGAAATTTCAGAAGCAGAAATAGAGGAGGCAGTTAAGCAGCTAAAAGAATGTGAAAGTGCTAAAATCACTGCTGAAATGCTTAAAGCTGGGGAGGAGATGTAGTTCATGAAATACATAAACTTTGCAATATAGTTTGGGAGAAAGGTGTGATCTGTAAATTACCAAAGAAAGGAAATCAGGTGGTGTGTGAGAATTGGCAAGGAATAATGCTACTTTCAGTGTCATGAAAAGTGTTCTGCAGTGTACTATAGAACAGAATCAAACTGGCCATAGATGGAAAAACTGTGTATTGAGCAAGCCGGCTTTAGACCAAAAGGTCATGTATAGATCACATCATTGCCCTGAGATGATTGATTGAGGAAGGGCTTGCTTGCCAGAGAAGATTAGCCTTGAACTTTATAGATTTCACCATTGCTTTTGACTGCATTCATACAGAGTTGCTATGGAAGATCTTGTGGCAATATGAGCTTCCTAAAAAGGTAGTGTCACTGGATAAGATGCTGTATGACTGTTCAAAATGCTGTGTAAGGACAAAGTGGAAAACTCCACTGGTTTATCTCCATCATCGGAGTGCAGTAGGGATGCATTTTATCACCTCTCCTCTTCTGCATCATGATAGATTACTTGATGCGAAAAGCTACATCAAAGGAAGATGCAGGAATTATATGAAGTAAAGGAAAACTTCAAGATCTTGACTGTGCAGATGACATTGTTCTGTTGGACACATGATGATGCTCTGATAAGGATCACCTCCAGTGTGAGGCTGCCAAAGTAGGATTAAGAATCTGCCAAAAGAACGTCAATGTCACAGTCATTGAAAGCAATGATAATGCATATGTGATCAATAGTGAAGATACAGCATGGATAACTAGTTTGTATATCTTGGAAGCACAATGATTGATGATGGCCAGTTCCGTAAGGAGGTGGAATCAAGAATTGGGAAGGCAAGTGGAACCTTTTCAAGACTGGCAAATATCTGGAAAAATAAGGAGATTCACAGAAGAACCAAAATAAAGTTATACAATGCTATTGTAATTCCACATTGTGTTATGCTTCTGAAACTTCACAAATGTTAGACACCAACAACAGAAAACTTAATGCGTTCTGTCAGAGATGCTTGCAAAGAATACTTAGTGTCCGTCGATGGGATAAACCCGGGGTTCTCAAACTGGGAATTGTGACCCCTGGGGGTCACAAGGTTATTATGTGGGGGGTCACAAGCTGTCAGCCTCCACCCTAAACCCACTTCACCTCCAGCATTTATAATGGTGATAAATATTTAAAAAATTGTTTTTAATTTAGAAGGGGAGGTCCCACTCAGAGGCTTGCTATGTGAAAGAGGTCACCAATACAAAAGTTTGAGAACCGCTGTGATAAACTGACCAATGCTAATGTATTATAGAAGGCTGCTCAGCAGACTTCAGAGACAATGATTTGAGAAAGAAAGCTGGTTTGGGTGTGTTGTATGGATGGCAAAAAAATGTATTCCTAGATAAGCCTTTGATTGGATACCACCTCATGGAAGACAGAAAAGAGGAGGACAATAGATGATATATAAGAAAACCATTAGAAAGATGTTGCTGTCATGGAAATAGATTATAAAGGAGGAAGAAATGTGTCATTAAACAGGTGGAAGGACTGGGTTTGCTTATATATCACAAAGCATGAGAGCATCTAATGGAAAAAATCTGCTTATGCTTATTGTAAAGATGAAGAATGAAGTAACATTGTTATCTTTTGCGTGGTGGACACTTGTATGCAAATTTTCACTCCTGTTTAGAATGACATTTTAAAACAAGCAAGTAACTACTTGTACATTTCTGAAATAATTAATGTTTTTCAGGCTTTGTAGAACACGTGTGGGATCCTTTGTCAACTTCACAAACAGTCAGTCTAGTTCAGCTCAGCAAAAATATCTTTGAAGAACATTCCCTTTCCAAAAATGAATCTAGTAAAGCAAAACAGGTAAAAACCACTGTGCTGTTAGAGACCAGAAGAAAATGGTATATTTTAAAGTCATTGATAATTATATACTCTTCCTACCCTTGCTGTATGCATTCATCCTATAATTCTAAAGTTGCTGGTATTTTGATTAACCTTTTCAGATCACCTGTAATAAGCAAAAATTTAAAGCTAAAATTGTTCTGCTTTCAGATGTGCAAATGCAACTCCCTTTTAGTCTGTGGGAGATGTGTACATCTTTGGGCAGAAATTGGCTCTTGTTACTAGAAAAATTATGACTACAATTGTGACGAGCCTCTTGCTAATAGTAATCTTTTTCTCCGCTGTGAAGATGAATCTTTCAAGAACTTGCAACTTTGCATTTGATTTTTTTAAAAAAATTAAATACACAACTTTTACCTGTTTAAAATCTGAAGGATGCTTCAGAGCTCAAATCTTTTTCACTTCTTTAGCTCTACTGTAGTGCTAAACCAAAGCTTTAAAAAAAAGTGCAGGCCTGTTTAAACTTCACTAAGTGGCTTCCTTTCTAGAAGGATTTCCATTTATTAAAAAATGGATAATCATTCCACCAGTGAAAAAGATCTCTCTAATATTAAGCATTTTATAATTGTGTACTCTGGGTTCATGATTCTTTACTTCAGTATGCTAGTTTCATTCCTATGTACATTCAATGAACTTCACCATCATAAAATTGGTGAAATTGAGTAGAAAATCAGATCTTGAATATGAAAACCTGTGTGTGTACCTGTCAGCCGGATTACAGCTTTGAAACTAGGGAAATCAAATACTGTAGTACCTTTTCAGCATATTTTTGATGTGTTGGCTAAAGTCAGAAAAAGTAAAACTAAAAATTACCCACATTTTAATTTGATAAAAGTGTAGAGACACTGTGTAAAGCTGAAAGAAAAGGAGTACTTGTGGCACCTTAGAGACTAACCAATTTATTTGAGCGTAAGCTTTCGTGAGCTACAGCTCACTTCATCGGATGCATACTGTGGAAAGTGTAGAAGATCTTTTTAAGCACACAAAGCATGAAAAAATACCTCCCCCCACCCCACTCACCTGCTGGTAATAGCTTATCTAAAGTGATCACTCTCCTTACAAGGATAAGCTATTTCCAGCAGGAGAGTGGGGTGAGGTATCTTTTCATGCCTTGTGTGTATAAAAAGATCTTCTACACTTTCCACAGTATGCATCCGATGAAGTGAGCTGTAGCTCACGAAAGCTTACGCTCAAATAAATTGGTTAGTCTCTAAGGTGCCACAAGTACTCCTTTTCTTTTTGCGAATACAGACTAACACGGCTGTTACTCTGAAACCTGTGAAAAGCTGTTAGACCTTCGGAGAGAAAACAAAAACTGTGGTATTGCTTATGACACTATTAGTTATGCAGAATTTTTCAGTTTTTCTATGTGATGAATCTATTGTTTAACCACCAGTTTCATTTTGTAGTTACAAGAACATAAGAATGGCCATATTGGGTCAGACCATAGTCCATCTTGCCCATTATCTGTCTCTGACAGCGGCCAATACCAACACGTCATGGGAGGTGTACAGAACAGGGGCAGTTATGGAGTGATTTATCCCTGCCTTCTACTTCTAGTTATAGACTATGTATAATCATTTTGCTATCATAGTAAAATAACATGCAGCAAATGACATCATTTGGGGAAAATTAAATTATCTTGCAAAACACCACAATGACAAATGGTCAAAGAGCGTGGTAGAGTCAGTTAAAATTGCAACCAGCTGATAACTATAGCTAAGAAAAAATATATAAAACAGGTGGCAACTGTATTACATTTATTATAGACTATCACATTAATCTAAAGGGAAATGCTATCTTTAAAATTATATCTTACAATGTATCCGCTATCATTTAAATGTTTTTGTGGGGAAGCATTGGTATGTCGGTGATAAATCTCCAATTTTTTAATAGGATCTGGTAAACTCAATTGTTTCAAGAATGAAGAAGTCGATAGAGGAAGATGTCTTTATTCCTCTGTATCCTAAAAGGTAAGCTAATTCTGTGAAATACCAACCAACCACTTCATTGGAAGTGAGGTGCCAGTTTAATATACAGTCAACGTGAATTGGAAACTAATGGAATAGAAAACTTCCTGAAATAGCTACAATTTCCAATGTCTGCTACATCATTATGAGTCAGGTTGGGGAGCCCTTACTCAAGCTGGTGAGTAGTTCTGTTTATTAGAGGAATTTAAATCAGTGGGACTACTCCTGTGAGTAAGTGCTCCACAATGTAAGAGCTCCTCAGTCTGGCCTTATGTATGTGTTGGTGATTGTTAAAAGGATGCTTTGGCTCAGCCAGCCTGTATTTCCCCTTTGATTCATCTCCTCCTCACATTCACGAATTGTTACTGTTTCCCTTGAGTCTTTTCACTGTAAAGAAAAATACCTAGCTGTTTGCTTTATTGGATTTGTTTATCACTATATTCTGTATATTTCACAATTTGGAATTAATGGAAATCCCTCTTTTCGGGAGAGACATGGGATTGCAAACTAGCTTAATGTTGGGGGAAAATGCATTGCTAAAGCTGATATAGGAAGTTTGCAGAGTATCTTCCCTCTACTGCCTGGCTTTGTACAGTGCTGTCAGTCTGATATCAAGTGTGATTAAGTGTTTCCAATTACTACTTTTAGTAGGGACTATCAAGAGACTAGTGATGGATTCCAAATGTAAAGTTATGTAACAGAGCTGAGACCTATTGTGACCCTCTTTATTGATTGAAAACTGAAATTAACATCCATCAGTATACAGAAGAGATCAATTGGTTGGATATTTGTTCTAAACAAAAACCATGAAAATGTTGTTTTACCAATTTCCTGTTATACTTTCTATGACCAGCACTGTGGAAGACAGAATATTGCCACAATCAAAGTTTCAAGAAAGACAGTTTTGGTCAGCTGTAAAGGTAAGCAAGATGTACCTAATTTCTCCCTGAAAAATCATTTGGGCTAAAATATTTCATGCTTGATCTCAACCAAGAAATACATATTCAGGGAAGTTTGATATCCTGGGGATAGTGCATTGTACTGGGAAGGGGATATGTAGTCCTCATGAGAAATAATAGAAATCATAGAAATGTAGGACTGGAAGGGACTTTATAGATCATCTAGTCCAGTTCCCTGCATTGAGACAGGATTAAGTACTATTTCTAGAGTAGACCATCCCTGACAGGTGTTTGTCTAACCTGTTCTTAAAAAAGCTCCTGTGACAGAGATTCCACAAGTTTTTGTCATATTTTGTTTCAGTGCTTAACTATGCTTACACTTAGGAAGTTTTTCCTAATGTCTAATCTAAATCTCCCTTGCTGCAATGTAAGTCCATTACTTCGGTCCTGTCCTCAGCAGTTCAGGAGAACAATTTACCACCCTTCTCTTTATAACAACCTTTTACGTACCTGAAGACTAACATATTCCCCCCTCAGTCTTTTCTTCTCCAGGCTAAACAAACCCATTTTTTTCAGTTTCCTCATGGGTCATGTTTTCTAGACCTTCAGTCATTTTTGTTGCTCTCTTCTGGACTTTCTCCAATTCGTCCACATCTTTCCCAAAGTGTGGTGCCCAGAACTGAACACAGTACTCTAGTTTATTTGAGCATAAGCTTTCGTGAGCTACAGCTCACTTCATTGGATCCATTCATACCTCCTGTTTCATGAACTAGTTCATCAGTGTCTCTGTGTATAAATCTCCTGTATTTTCCACTGAATGCATCCGATGAAGTGAGCTGTAGCTCACGAAAACTTATGCTCAAATAAATTGGTTAGTGTCTAAGGTGCCACAAGTACTCCTTTTCTTTTTGCGAATACAGACTAACACGGCTGCTACTCTGAAACCTGTCAGTACTCTAGTTGAGGCTTTATCTGTGCTGAGTACAGTAGAATTACTTCTCATGTCTTGGTTTCAGTACTTCTGCTAATAAGGATCAGAATGTTTGCTTTTTTTGCAGCAGTATTTCATTGTTGAGTCATATTTTGTTTGTGATCCACTATAACCCCCAGATCCTTTTCCTAGGCAGTCATTTCCCATTTTGTATTTGTGTAAGTGATTATTCCTTCTTAAGTAGAGTACTTTGCATTTGTCTTTATTGAATTTCATCCTATTTATTTCAGACCATTTCTCCAGTTTGTCAAAATCATTGGCATTGGTCCTGCTTTGAGCAGGGGGTTGGACTAGATGACCACCTGAGGTCTTTTGCAACCCTAATCTTCTATGATTCCATGATTTTGAATTCTAATCCTGTCCTCCGGAACACTTGCAACCCCTCCCATCTTGGTATCATCTGCAGACTTTATAGAGGTTTCTGTCATTTTCCAAACCATTTATGAAGATATTGAATAGAACCAGACCCAGGACAGATCCCTGCAAGACCACACTCAATATGCCCTTCTAGTTTGCCTATGAACTATTTATAACTACTCTCTGAGTAGAGTTTTCCAAGCAGTTGTGCATGCACCTTTATACTAGGTTCATCTAGACTGTATATCCCTACTTTGTTTATGAGAGAGAGAGAGTATCAAAAGCCTTACTAAATTAGAGCTATATCACATCTACTGCTTCCCCGTAACCACAAGGCTTGTTACCCTGTTAAAGAAGAATATCAGGTTGGCATGACATGGTTGTCCTCAACAAATCCATGCTGACTGTTACTTGTCACCTTATTATCTTCTAGGTGGTTACAAATTGTTTGATTATTTGCTCCATTATCTTTCCAGATACCAAAGTTAAGCTGACTGGTCTATAATTTATCCTTTCCCAGTCCTCTGGGATCTCTCCCATCCTCCACGAGTTCCCAAAGATAATCACTAATGGCTCAGATTTTCTCAGCCCAATCCTTAAGTATTCTAGGATGTATTTTGTCAGGCCTTGCCAACTTGAAGACCTCTAACTTGTCCGAGTACATCTTAACTTGATTTTTTCCCTGTTTTAGCCTCAGATTCTACCCCATTTACACTGATATTCACACTGTTAGTTGTCTGATGACTGCTAACCTTTCTGGTGAAAACTGAAACAAAAAGGCATTTAATACTTTGGCCTTTGCTGCATTTATCTTTCTCTCCTCATTGAGTAATGGGCCTACCCTGTCCTTGGTATTCCTCTTGCTTCTAATGTATTTGTAAAATATTTTTTTGTTACCCTTTATGTCCCTAGCTAGTTTAATCTCATTTTGTGCTTTAGCCTTTCTACATGCTTGTGGTGTTTTTTTTATATTCATCCTTTGTAGTTTGATCTAGTTTTCCCCTTTTTGTATGACTCCTGTTTTAGTTTCAGGAATGTGTACTCTTCAAAGATAATTGGTTGTGAAATAATGGTTATAAATGTGCTGGCATTTGAATGTACTTCTCCATCCATTTACACAAATGCCAGATCCTCCCCATCTCACCCCAGACCTTGGCCAACCATTCTTGCCCTGCATATTTCCTCTCTCCATCACTTGCTTCAAAAGTCCACTTGAGTGTGGTGAGAGTGTCAACATGATTTGGTGGCCTTTGGGCTGTACCCTAAATCACTTTCCAAGTCCTTGTCCTCTGCTGAGTGCATTGCACTTTTGGGGCTCCGCACTCCAAGCACACATTCTGATGTGAGTGTGCAGTCCAATGATCTCCTGTTCAAATAAACACATCAACATATTTTTTTAATCTAAAAAGATTGAGTTGAGGGAAATTCCAAGTGGGAATTTGGGCCTGCACGCAGTCCCATGAGAACGTGTAACCAAAGTATTACATTCTGGTTTTATACTTCAGTTTACCTACTATCACCAAGTGTGCTCATTCTAAGCTTGTTTATCATTTCAGCTGCTGTCTAATATTCTTCTTTGGGATGGGATCATAGTAGAAGATACACTACATGAGTTAGGACTAGGCAAGCTGCTGAATCGATATCTCCTTCTGATACTTCTTAATGCACCACCTGGACCAGATAATGTGGAAAAGTGCAACAAGGTAAAAATTATATACAGGAAAAAGGCTTATATAGAAGAAAGTTTTCATGATAAAGAGATCAGTGTCTGAAGATAAAATAAGTAACAAACAGTATCTGCAGCTTTTAAGATAACGTTGTAAACTCTTGATGGTGTTAGAAAGGCACAGTTAAAATATTCAGGCCCGAAACTTAGAAACTATTACAGTCCAGTGGAAAATATCTTTTTTGGATCCTAAGGGTGAAATCCTGGCCCCATTGAAATCAGTGGAAGTTTAGCCATTGATTTCATTGGAGCCAAGATCTCACTGTAAGTATCTTTCTGAAAAATCTATCAGTTCAAAATAAAATAAAGTTGTGAGCTGTTCGTGCTCGCCTAGATCACCAGCTATAATTAGCCATTTAACCTACATCATGGTAGTAATGTTTCAAAGCCTATTGAAGAATGGAAAGACCTCTGTTGAATTCCTTCAAGTCTGGTTCAGGCCCACTACTCACAAAGTTGTATGCTTTCTTGGTGCAATAGATTATGCTAATGCACAGAGAGTTTTGTCAAAACAAAAGCCACATTAGGTTTGTTAAAAATCCAAAAAATGCCAATGTTTGACTCCAAAGTAGATCTTCACACCATTGAGAGGATAGGAATCCTGGGCTTTTTGCTTCTAAGTGTTACAAACAGTGGAGGGTAAAATAAACAATTTCTAAAAAGGATACTGGCGATTAATGATTTAATGCCTTGGCTCCGGAATAAGTATTTTCATAATGCTGGTTCTTAATGTAAGTTCAAAAGCTGGAGTTGTATATTTCTAGCCACAAAATGACTTATCAATGAACCTCTTGGTACTGAGGATGAAGAAGGTGGTGGCTTCTTTGAATTGGGCAGATTCTAACTTCTTGACCTGAGGGATTAATGCAAGCATATGTTTTTGCCCAAAGCTAATGTATGCTAATGTGCTTTAAAGGTTAGCAGTTCAAATTGGCAATAACTAATGGTGTTTTATGCCGACTAGATTGTTAGAGGGCTTTCTCTTCACCCTTTCCCCTGGTTCTTGTCACGCAGACAGAAAGCAGAAGTCCGAACTGTAGACAATGCAATGTTTATTGGGGTTAGTTTCCAGCGAACATGTTCCGTAACTCTGACGCCGCAGTGTTTTGTCCCCCACTCCTCAGGAGGTATAATTATACCTGCAATGCATGCCCACAGTCCCACCCCTTACACCTTAGGGTCATGTTCCCTTTTGGGTCTGGAGTCTTAGTCCCACCTCTTTTTTGTATCCCATTGGAGGGGTAAGGAGTGAGGTTGTGCTCTGGTTGGGGACCGCCATTTTTTTACTCTTTTAGTATTTTATACCTTCCCCCCCGACCCAAGCCCCTTTGCCCCTCCCGACTGGTTGCTTGATTTTTTTGCCTTGAGATAGGGGTTGAGGCAACCTTAAAGTGTGCTCTGACTAACACTTTAACTGCTCTGATCTGTTCCCATTGTACTAGCAAATCCATCTGACTAGACAGAAGCAACATCATTGTTTTTTGTGCTTTGTTTACACACATTAGTATAAGAGTATCAAAAAGTCAAACCCAAAATTCTATCCCAGGCTAACTAACAGACCTATATACTAACATAGATAAAATTGTTAGGTCTTTAGGCAGTCTTTTTAATATATGCGTGCAACAAGCATCAGAAGCAAAATGGAAGGTGTAGAAAGGACTGAACTTTTATCACAAACATTTGTGTATAATTGTTTGTTTATTACACAGAAACATAAAAACCTTTAGAACAAACAGCCTATAAATTCTTGAAGCTGTTGAGTATGCCAAGAATAACAGATATCTGGCTCTACATCTGACACAGCTTTCTATTAATTACAACAATGGAGCCAATTAAAGGAGAAATAAGTGTGAGTTAAATCAAAGTGAGTTAATGCATTTAAGGATTGTCTAATCTTTTCCAAATATGTTTTGATTGAACAGGTAGTTGCATGTCTCCCAGAACGATGGTTCAAAGAGCTTAAAAATGGATCAACTCTCCCTCAGTTGGCAAACTTTAGCCAACATTTGTTGCAAAGTGCACATATGCTGTACAAGAATAACTGCAGGTAATCTGGCATTTTTTTGGAATTCATTATTTCTACATGTACTGTGTATGATTGTTTTGTTAACTTTTTTCTGTTTGTATATTTAAATCATACGCTTCAAAAGGGGCCTTGTCAGTGGTTTATATTTTGATCTTTTCATAATAATGCATATCTGTTTGAGAGGTGTGGAAGGATTAAAAACAAAAAGCAAAATTAAAAACCTTGTAATGGACACACAAGAATAATGGAGAAGGGCTACGTGACTGATTTACTGGTAACAGTGTAAAGACATGTAAAATCCTACATTACATCGTTCCTATAACACTGGTCCATCTATTTCTAGAGAATTGAGGAAATAGTCCTATAATGTTGTTCCTAAAGGAGGCGTTGGAGATCTGCTGTGATTCTCTGTATCTTGCACACTGAGATGTCTTATTAGTGCTTGCTTTTATAAAGAATGAAATAATTAAAATATGTAAATCTAATCAGATTAGTTTAAATTTATAAAACGTGATCTAATAGAAATGGAAGATATAGATTTATGTTAGCTTTTCTTGCCTAGCCTTTGGACACTGGAATGGAATGCAACATAACCGATCACCATAGCCCAGGGTAATTTTCATTAATTTCCAGTGTAGTTTCTTATCTGCATTTTAAAAATCAATACACTCAAACTATATGGCGGTCAGACACTTGAATATTGTACATTTTCTTTTATTTTTTTAGTGATGAAACGAGAGACCTGATCCTTTTGTTGGTGAAAGTCAACGCCTTGCATATTGCAGAGGACTTCATTGAGGAATATAAACTGGAACACCTGAAATCTATGGTCAGAAAGTAGAATTCCAGCGAAAGGACTAAAATATAAAATTTAAAATGCTGTTGCCATTTTAGGTTTGATTTAAAGCAAGATAAAGGTCAAGCTAAAATAGTGTTAAAGGTTTTGCTTGAACAATGCAACTGACGAGTTAGGGCTGCCCTTTCTTTAGTCTGCCTTGTTGAGCCTAGATATTTCATGGGACTTAAAGGCCCTGCAAGTATTAGGCTTGAATTTTTGCATTTCTTGTGCATCCAAAATTCCCATGGTGGGTAGTGAGTGTTCTTGGTGCACCAGGAATGCAAAATCTGGTCCAATGCATGTTGCACTGGTTGGCATCAAGTTAGTTGAAGATGAAATGGCAATCTTAAGTACCACGGGAGTGATAATGCTTTATTCCTCTTATAGGTGTCCCTTAAAGGATAGTGAAAGGATCTGAAAAATGTGTGTCAGAATCAGTATACTGTAAGTAAACAGCCTTGTGTAGAATTTCCAGTCTTGAACTGTGAGCCTAGTATTGTGTAATATCTCTCTATCTCAGGGAGAATACCAGGTCCCTTCTCTGGTCAGATTCCAGTGACCATCTTTATGGAGATCCGTGGGAGAGTTAGTCCGTATAAGTCCTGCAGGGTTTCAACTGAATAATAGGAATAGAATAATGGGGACAGCTGAAATAGAAAGCTAGGGATAGCAGGCACCTATCTATATTATACCTAGTGTGCAAATGTAACACTTGTAACATCACAATGTAAGGATGGCATCCGCTGTACGTTGTCTTTTATAATTCAGATGCTAATGTGGATTGTGCTCAAGTGTTTGTGGGCCTGGACTCACCTCTGGACCTATTTTCCATCAGTTTCTTTTTAATGATCATACACACTTCAGTGGTTGGCAGTGAGATGCAGGAGTCCTTTATTGTAGCAACTTCAGAACATTTTTTTAATGTGAACTTTTCACATCGTTTTCAGAAATCTGACTGGTGTTTGAGAGTCTTGCTGATCGCTATTTTTGCTTCCCCCTGATGTGTACACAGTCTCGTCTATCATACACAGAATATTTTATTTTAAAATAGATTCTATGTTTTAAAGAGAGAATTTTAAATGTATATAACAAAAGTCATTCTGCCATGGAATTGAAAGAGAATTGGTCATAGAAATCCAGAGAGTGGCACAAGTTCTGATGCAGAGTCATTTGTATTTGTATTTCCCCAAATGGTATTTAACATGTAATATTTGTATTTTTCTTATAGTAGATTTGTTTTCCCTGTGGACATGCTTTTACATTTTTTTAAAACTGGGTATTTTTTATTTTTGTAAAATAAATGAATATCAATTGTAAATGACTAGGTACTATTTTTTATCTTGATTGTTTAACTCTTGTACAAATGGACTTCATAAAATAAAATTATTAGTCTTGCATTTAGTTCATATTTATTCGAACAAGTAATTAATGTCAATTCTGGGTGTTCGCTGTATTTATCATACTAACATGATTTAAGCAGCATATCTCTAGAATGTGCAGGATTCTACAAAGCAGTACCCTCTTTCAAGACCATCTTTTGCTGTGATTACTGTAATAAATCAACTTACTAATGATGTCAAGATTGTGCAGCAATTGATAACTTTTTTAAATAAAGATTTATTTTTTTTTTACCAGCAGGAACTATGAAATTAGGCAATAGCTAATCAATACAAGCATGTGATTTGTCCTCCTTGCCTTCCCTCCATATTTGTTGGTATGTTGTCTCAAATTAGACTGAGTTCTTCAGGGAATGAGCAGTGTCGACCTGTGTATTTGTACAGCACCCAGCACAATGGACCCTTGACAATGTAGATGCTGTTGCACTTCACGTAACATTCTTTCAATGTCATTATTGACTTGATGTTTCTGGATGGTGTTGCAAGTGCTATTTTGGATGATATAAAAAATGGTAGCCGTCGGGGGCTAAAAAGCCCCTCAGAGGTATGACCAGAGTAAGGGGTACTTACTCATGGTGATGGCCAGGATAAATTCCAGTTTGTGTAACTGAATTCTGCATGCTTCAGTTTTCCCTGAAGTTTCAGTTGTCCTGTAATAATAGAGCTGTTAAAGAGCTGCACCGTTTCACCAAAACACTGCTCCTACTGAAGTGCAGTTGAAGTGACAAGCATATATGTGCGTGTATTTTGTAGAGTGCTGTGGGAGCCCACAGGCTAATGTGTACTTACACATTTTTAAAAGGCCATTTTAGTAAGATTTTTGCAATCTTAAAAATACTAAGTTTCTACTTAGTGTATTTTGTACCAAACCCAAAGCTTTCAACCACTTAACAGACACCTACATTTCCCACTGTTTTTGGCCAGCCATGTGGCACTTTCAGAATTGTCAATTTCCCAGTGTACAGAAAACCTAATGTAGACTCAGGCCTATCCTACAGGTTGCAATGGGGGAGGGGTAAAATAGCTGTTAAGTTTTAAAAATCCATTCCATCCTCCCTTTTAAAAAATGGAACCTAAGCATTTGTGCAGTCTTATCCTTTCTACCAGCAGATTTAACTACATCTCTTCTCCCTCTGTGGTATTAACTAAAAGGTGTAGCTAGTTATTTAATTACATTCATTGTTTGTTCTTAAAAGTGATTGAGACCAAATAACCAACCACAGCTAAATGTATTGTCCAAAGACAATAGTACGGTATGAAAAGGAGGCATGCATACCCTCCTTATCTCTCAGCATGTTTTTACATGGAAAGTATGTTGTAAAGATGCACATTTCAGCTAGCAGTATTGATTCTGTGATTTCTAAAAGTTACAAAACTCCTAACGTGTCACTAAAATCCAACCCACCAGTTTGTAACAGTCCCTTGTTTTGTTCTGTACCTTTCTTACCTCTGTCTTGGATACTACATTCCAAACCAGTTGGGCGTAACGATACATCCCAATCTGTGCTAAGACATACAATTCATGTATCCTGGCTTTGTCAGGCTTCCTATTTTCTAATGCTAAAGTTGACATCAGCTTTGCAAAGTGTTGTGGGATACTTGACATAGGTGAACAGAATTGGCAGAGCATAATACATTGATGTAAGTTCAAAACACCCATATATAATGTATATTACATTAATACCATGTTGGGACATTCCCTAGGGTACAGCACTGCTGAACAGCTGTGTCCCCCTCAATATTCCAGCCTGGGATGCCTTTTATACTGCTTTGCTGTGGGAACAACCACTCCTGGCCAGTAACCATACAGCCTCTAGCATGCAAAATCCCATTGTGACATTCCCAGCTATATTACATGAATGCTCTGTCTAGCTACTTATGAATTAGATGCAGGGCAACACCAGCATATTCCCAGCCCTAGACCTTTCCCCAGAAATGTGCTTTTTGTACTGGCAGCACCTCCTGGACAATACAAGCTCATACAAAGTCTTGTCATTTCATCAACTGAAAATCATATGCCCAGACTGTTATCTCAAATGGAGGTTCCCAAACACTTCAATCCAAACCCACACGGGTTTAGATAAAACAATAAAAAGTGTATTAACTACAGAAAGATAGATTTTAAGTGATCACAAGTGATGAGGCATAAAAGTCAAATTGATTACAAAGAAAATAACAGGATAAAACTGAAGGACATAAATTCACACCGTGTAGAGGGCAAGCACAGGAGTTTATTACATACAGCGCTGACAGCGTGTTACCTCGCTTATTCGGCTTAGAGACACTGTTAATCGATTACAATGGAATATATGGATTTTCCATGGGTGGGGAAAAGTGACAGGGTAGGCAGTTCCACAACAATGGATGGGTCTAGCAGCAAGACATGATAGCACAGTAGCCAATGGTCAAAGGTTACATAATGTCTCTGCCCATGGTTTTAAATTGACAGATTAACATTTAATTAGTACTTTAATCAATGTATTAGTATAAAATATATGTTGAATTTTGATTTGGGATTCATAGGAATGAAGTTGCTTCTTTGATTGTTCAACAGATACATATCTGGGGGTAAAAGCAAATAAACAGTGAAAGTATATGGTAATAAAGATTCTTTTAAGTTGTTTGTGTTTTAAGGCAGGCATTGGTTCCTGGGAAAGGGAGGTGGGAGGAGGCCATATTTTATACTGACATGCTTGAACCTTTTATAAACTCAAGGTTGGATGTGTGGGAAGAACATCTCCCTACAGAAAAAACTAACACAACAGAAACAGGGCTTCTTTGTTCTATTTGCAACTTTGAATAAGACACAATTATTACCCCCAACATTTGGGGTTTTGCTGACCAGGCATATCTTAGCAAAAGCAAGGTTATTTTTGGTTATTTTGCTTTCTCTTAGCTATTGCTAGGCCTGTGACCTCTTGACTAAACTCTGGACTTCGGGCCTGTACACAAATCCATATACCAAGTTATTAATTAGCAATGGATTTTAACCCTTCAAAAATGAAAACTAATAACTAACTTAACGAGCTAAAGAGTGGTAGCCATGTTAGTCTGTATCAGCAAAAACAACGAGGGGTCCTTGTGGCACCTTAGAGACTAACAAATTTATTTGGGCATAAGCCTTTGTGGGCTAGAACGCACTTCATCAGATGCATGGAGTAGAAAATACAGGAGCCCGTATAAATACGTGAAAAGATGGGAGTTGCCTAACAAGACAATTCAATTAAAAGCAGGATACCAAGAGAGGAAAAATAACTTCTGTAGTGGTAATGAGAGTGGCCCATTTCAAGCAGTTGACAAGAAGGTGTGAGTAAAGTTGGGGGAATTTAGTATGGTGGAAATTAGGTTTAGGTTTTTTAATGACCCAACCGCTCCCAGTCTTTATTCAGGCCTAATTTGATGGTGTCCAGTTTGCAAATTAATTCCAGTTCTGTAGTTTCATGTTGGAGTCTGTTTTTGAAGTGTTTTTGTTGAAGAATTGCCACTTTTAGGTTTAGTCTCTAAATTTTAGTCTCTAAGGTGCCACAAGTATTCCTCTTTATTTTTACTTTTAGGTCTGTTGTTGAATGACCAGGGAGATTGAAGTGTTTTCCTACTGGTCTTTGAATGTTATAATTCCTGATGTCAGATTTGTGTCCATTTATTCTTTTGCAGAGAGACTGTCCAATCTGGCCAATGCACATGGCAGAGGGGCATTGCTGGCACATGATGGCATATATCACATTGGTAGATGTGCAGGTGAACAAGCCCCTGGCGTGGCTGATGTGATTAGGCCCTATGATGGTGTCCCTTGAATAGATATGTGGACAGAGTTGGCATCGGGGACTACAAGCCATCAGGAATAGCATCCCCGCTACTATCAAGGCAAACCTGGTGGCTGAACTTTGTGACTTTGTCCTCACCCACAACTATTTCAGATTTGGGGACAATTTATACCTTCAAGTCAGTGGGACTGCTGTGTGTACCCGCATGGCCCCACAGTATGACAACATTTTTATGGCTGACTTAGGGGACGAGAGCTGCAGAAGCGTTGTTCTAACGCCCCTACTCTACTTATGCTACATTGATGACATGATCATCATCTGGATTCATGGGAAGGAGGCCCTTGAGGAATTCCACCAGGATTTCAACAATTTCCACCCCACCATCAACCTGAGCCTGGACCAGTCCACACAAGAGGTCCACATCCTAGACGCTACAGTGCAAATAAGCGATGGTCACACAAACACCATCCTATACCGGAAACCTACTGACCACTATACTTACCCACATGCCTCCAGCTTTCATCCAGACCACATCACACGTCATTGTCTACAGCCAAGCTCTAAGATACAAACACATTTGCTCTGATCCCTCAGACAGAGACAAACACCTACAGGATCTCTGTCAAGCTTTCTTAAAACTAAAATACCCACCTGGTGAAGTGAAGAAACAGATTGACAGAGCCAGAAGGATACCCAGAAATCACCTACTCCAAAATTGGCCCAACAAAGAAAGTAACAGAACGCCATTAGCTGTCACCTACAGCCCCCAACTAAAACCTCTCCAGCGCATCATCAAGGTTCTACAACCTATCTTGAAGGACAATCCCCCACTCTCACAGACCTTGGGAAACAGGCCAGTCATCGCTTACAGACAGCCCCGCAACCTGAAGCAAATACTCACCAGCAACTACACACTACACAACAAAAACACCAACCCAGGAACCAAACCCTGCAACAAACCCTGGTGCCAACTCTGTCCACATATCTATTCAAGGGACACCATGATAGGACCTAACCATATCAGCCACACCATCAGGGGCTGGAAATGGCCCAACTTGATGATCACTTTAGATAAGCTATTACCAGCAGGAGAGTGGGGTGGGAGGAGGTATTGTTTCATGGTCTCTGTGTATATAAAGTCTTCTGCAGTTTCCACAGTCTGCATCCGATGAAGTGAGCTGTAGCTCACGAAAGTTCATGCTCAAATAAATTGGTTAGTCTCTAAGGTGCCACAAGTACTCCTTTTCTTTTTGTGAATACAGACTAACACGCCTGTTACTCTGAAACCATCAGGGGCTTGTTCACCTGCACATCTACCAATGTGATATATGTTGTCATGTACTAGCAATGCCCCTCTGCCATGTACATTGGTCAAACTGGACAGTCTCTCTGCAAAAGAATAAATGGGCACATCTGACATCAGGAATTATAACATTCAAAAACCAGTAGGAGAACACTTCAATCTCCCTGGTCACTCAGACCTAAAAATGGAGTCTGTTTTTGAAGGTTTTTTGTTGAAGAATTGACAATGTGAAACTGCAGAACTGGAATTAATTTGCAAACTGGACACCGTCAAATTAGGTTTAGGTTTGTAATGACCCAACCACTTCCAGTCTTTATTCAGGCCTAATTTCCGCCATACTAATTTCCCCTGGCTGTTACTCACACCTTCTTGTCAACTGTTTGAAATGGGCCTCTCTCATTACCAGTACAAAAGTTATTTTTCCTCCCTTGGTATCTTGCTGTTAATTGAATTCTCTTGTTAGACTGACCTCACGCTTGGTAAGGCAACTCCCATCTTTTCATGTATTTTTACCTGCTCCTGTATTTTCCACTCCATGCATCTGATGAAGTGGGTTCTAGCCCACAAAAGCTTGTGCCCAAATAAATCTGTAAGTCTCTAAGGTGCCACAAAGACTCCTTGTTGTTTTAACAAGCTAAGTGAACTTAAAAGCAAGAAGGGTTCTCTCACCATAGGCTTACAGCAAACTGGCTAGATTGCTTTAGCCAGGATCTGCCTTCTAGTTCAGTGGTGTTTCCTTTGCTTTTCACCTGTTGTAGCTGCCGTGAGTAGTGATGAAGGGAGAGGGGTAACTCTGTTGTGTGTGTGTGTCCTCTATTCTTATACCATTCTCCCGTCTTTGAGGATTATCTCCATTTGGGGTTCAGGTGATAGCCAGTCTGGTTACCGGGACCTCCAACAGTTTCATTGTCAATATGTGAAGTTCTTGCTCAGACCCTTCTTCTTGCCAAAGAATGGCTGCTTAACTAGGAGATAGCCTATAATAGTTCTTCTGATTATGCTGATATGTGGCCAGGGCATCAATGTGTCTTTTGTCTCTGAAAAACTGGTTTGGGCCTGCTTTTCTGACTCTGGAGCATGTTACAGCAGTCTTGTACAGTGGAATCTAAAAACTTTACATACAATAATCAGCATAGTGTGAATTTTCAAATGATACCTCACAAGGCATACTTTGTACAAAATTTTTTATAGTTAAGGCTACATTTTAGTCACAGGTATTTTTAGTAAAACCCATGGACAGGTCAAGGCCATAGGCCATGTTTTTGTTTGCTGCCCGTGACCTGTCCATGACTTCTATTACATACCCCTAACTAAAACTTGGGCTGGGGGACTGCAGGTGCTCTGTGGGAGTGGCCCAGGACCCCTGCCAGTGCTGCGTGGGGGGAGGGTTGGCAGGCTCCCTACCTGGCTCTGTGTGTCCCTGCAGCTCCTTGCGGGAGGGAAGGCCGGGGGGCTCCCTGTTCTGCCCCCACCACAAGCTCCAGCTCTGCAGCTCTTCTTGGCTGGGAACTGCAACCAATGGGAGCTGTGTGGGTGGTGCCTGTAAGCACAGGCAGTGCATGGAGTCATAGAATATCAGGGTTGGAAGGGACCTTAGGAGGTCATCTAGTCCAACCCCCTGCTCAAAGCAGGACCAATCCCCAATTTTTGCCCCAATCCCTAAATGGCCCCCTCAAGGATTGAACTCTCAACCCTGGATTTAGCAGACCAATGCTCAAATCACTGAGCTATCCTCCCTGACTATCCCCTGGCCCCTCTGCCTAGGAGCTGCAGGAACAGGCCAGTTGCTTCCAGGGAACCCCCTGGAGGTAAGTACCACCCTACAGCCCAACCCCTTAGCCCCCTCACTCACCCAAACTGCCCCAGCAGTGGCCAGTGCTGCTGGCCCAGGGGATGCCTGATCTGCTTGGGCAGCCCCAGAGCTAGCCACACCAACTGCTGCAGAAGTCACAAAGTCATGGAATCTGTGACGGATACTGCCTTAATCATAGTCTAGTAAAAATGGTGTACATAATGGTATGGACTATCACAGATGTGCATAACTGTTAATGTGGTGTGTACTATGCCTAACATATACATGTTGGCTGACAGTGGTCATCTTGAGGGCGCCCCTTTAGGTCCCAGGTCTCCAGCTGTCACCTCTGTGTGGACAGAGGTCTGTCCCCCTCTCCCTCTATACCAAAGATTTGGTATAATTCCCCTGCCATTCACAGTGGTTCTTAGTCCAACACCTACAGCTCACTTTCCCTTGGGTTACCAGTGACCAGCTAATTTTAGAACAAATGCATTGTTTTATTTTCTCTGTAAATAGTCTACCTGTATGCTAGCTTACCAGCCATCACCCATGTTCCACAGGGAGGCCCTGGCCAGTTCCAGTCCTTCACACCCCTCCAAGAGGATTTTACCTTCTTAGGTACAATCTTGTCAGGTGGTTGTTTTTAAATCAGAAAGAGGGCTGTGGCTCAGTTGAGTCTGACCCTTTATTCTTAAAGCTTTTTGTTTGCTAGGCCTCTTGAGCCCAGTCTGAACCAGTACATGCAATTCAGTGGGTAGTACTTCCTTGGAGTTGTTTACTTGTCCTGAGATCTAATTACTGCCACCTCCCAGCCAATTTTCTTGGGGGAAGCTTAGTAACCTTGCTGATAAACTTAACATACAATTCCTAGCTCAGACTGATACATATAACCTTTATACATAGAAAAGTTTGACAAGTCCCAGACCACATCAGTCTCTTAAAGTTTCTGTGCTTCCAGGGTCTTGCATGTCACAGACTGTTCAAAGTAACATTTCCCCTTCAACAACTACTAGTGGTAGATCCTTCTAGTTGGAGCAGGATACATACTATTTCATCAATGAGAGCAGGGACACAACTCCTCAGACCTTACAGAAAAAGGGAAGTTGAGGACTTGGGCTGGCTTTGCTATGGTAAGTGGGAATAAGTGTTAGGAGTTTAGTAAACTGTGGGTGGGGAACAGGAAGAGGAGAATCAAATCAACTTCAAATTTGTAAACTCGTGTTATGTAGGAGTGAATACTGGCTCACAGGTTCATGTGCATGTTTTACAATCCAAAGCATGAAGGGCCTGAATCTGGCTTTTGGGTGTTTAAACAACACAACAAAAAATTGAAACTGTCAACTGCCACTCTGATCATTTTGTGAAGTGTTCTATCCCTCTGTCTTGGTCCATGTGCTCAAAGGCAGGGACAGCCTTTGTTTGGCACACTCCTAGTGCCCAGTGTTTTCATTTAAGGCTTACTTAACTTTTAGTTTTGAGTTCCTTCCTGTTCAGCAATATCACTCGTCAGACATATACCTCCTACTGTATTTAAACAAGCAAGGAATGAAAGTGTGTGTTTGGAGGTGGGGGTGCGTGCGTGTGTGTAGGAAAAAGAGGTTTAGAACATAAGACAATGGACAACAAAACCATCACTGCAAAGTCAGTTGGCTGTGAAACCAAGGACAGGAAGATGTGTCTTGGGCCAGAATTTGGAGAAAGTCAAGTCAGTCTAACAAAGTAGTGACTGACAAAGTCTTAGTTAAGGCAGCTAAATCAATGGGTTAAAAAAAAATTCATAGCTGGAGGGATATGTTAATCGCAAAAGAACAAACACCTCCCTGGATTCAGGTAGTATATGGCCTGTTGTCAAATGAGGAACATGAAAAGTGTAGCAGCAAAGGCCTGTTTTGTTACTGTAAAGACTGAGAATGCCTGGAAAAGGGGGCTGGACATAGTACTTTGGTAAGATAGTTTCTCAAGATTTTACTGAAGACAATAGGACTCAGTAAAGGAGTCCTAAACTAAAGGACTTTTAACTAAAGGAGGTTAAAACCACTGCACTGTATATACACAAATGTACTACTTTTTTTGAAAGATTAACTTTATTGTACATTCTGACTATATACACAAGTCTTACACAATTGAATTATATATTAAAAAATTCAGGTGGCCTCCCTCCTCAGTAATTACTGTATAAAAGCAGTATCATTTTTTTAGCTCTTCATTCACTTCTTTCCATATTTCCTTCTCTAATTTTGAAGTATTGTATTCTCGGAGCATATCAAACTGTATCCAGGGCATGCTCCATTTTTGTGCTTCTTCCATCATTTCTTTAGGTAGTTCAAAGTGGATTCCTTGAATGTTAAATTTTGGTCGTTCCCAGCGTTTTGTCCAGGGCCTAGGTTTCATTTTGACCTTCAGCTAGGATTGGAAACAAGTAAAGAATACATAAAATACAAGTCTGCATAGAACTTTGACTTTTTTGCGTGAGGATGCATTTTCAACTTGGCCCTACTTGTCTTTTTGCTCTAAAAGAAAGCGATACCAAGTTTGACTGTAAGATCAGCTCTAAAGAGCTACTGATCAGTTCTGGTTGGAAAACTGAAATTTATTCCTGAAGAAACGTAGTCATTTCATGCCTATGTGCACAACTATTCTATAGACAAGGCTCATCTATTTTCAGTCTACTTTTGAACCCCACTGCTGATCAAAGTTAGATGTGGTCTTATCTCACATAAACAACTTGTTTTTCCTTTTCAGTAGCAGGGCTGTTAGCCCTTAGTTTACTATCATAATCATCCTTTTATATTCCCTCCCCCTTTGAACTATTAATTGTACTGGACAGTTAAAAACAAATAGTCATCCACCCTCCATCATCCTCAAGATCACATGTTCACACTTAAGGTCAAACTTCCAATATGGAATTTTTTCCTGACACCCTCTATTTTGGTTTGCCCCTCCAGTCTATTCATGCCTTTTTGTACTGAGTAGCCCTAACCACTACACGGCCCACTAGACACAGGCATATGCAGGCCACGCTGCTTTTAGCCTAGTTATAAACATTAAAAGAATAACATAAAACAAAGTAGATCGGTATTAAACTCAGAAGATGGTGATTTCTCTAATAGATGGTACCATATATGGCACAGTACAGGATCTGCCATGATAGACATTGCATACTTGAATTGGGATGGTATATGTATCCCGCTACCTTCTACAAGTCTTCCTGAGCTAACAAAGAGGGTAAATGATTTCTTTAAGTCTTTTGGAAAGAAATGATCTACTTTACATCCACTAAATTTCTACCCTCAGCATGACAATAAGCTGTTGTCCACTAGCATTCCCCCCTCGTAATTTTACACACAGATTCTCCTAAGAAAGGATGACAATTTAGTATTCAAATAGTTCCAGGGATGTCAGGCAGGCATCTAAGTTCCATCTACAGAACACACACAACGTGGAGATGCTTTTTCCATGTGCCTCAACTCTGACCTAGAGAGCCCCCTCTCGAAGAAGTTTTATTTTTCATGTCCATCAATCCTTGCTAACCATAAAGGATGCTGGATAGTTCAACTGCATTGTGGATGATTATTCACTATAAAAACAGAGTAAGACCAAACTTGTTTTACATGTGACACCTGGTAACAGTTCAGTGGCCTTAGAGGGCTAGATTCAAGCTAACATTATATATGAAGCATTTATATTTTATTACAATCACTTAAATCACCTCCTCACTTTCCCACCAAACTTCTATCACACCAGACTCATACCTGGTTTACAGGAATTTCATCATTAGCTGAATGGGGCACAGGTTTCATGTTAACATCAAAAGTACTATATTCAGGAAGAGCATCCCGTAAATACATCAGGTTGTCATCTAGTCTCTTCTCCAACTTCAAAACCTTGATCTCCCGGATTCGAGGATTGTACAGTTCATAGCAAAACTCAACACCTTAAGAAGACAAAATTATTTAACTTGTAGCCGAGAATCAGGGGCCATAAGTAACCTAGTCTGGGTTTGATATATTGCAGTTTAGTGTTTCAGATCCTTGTATTAATCAAGGACAGTGTTTTGTTACATTCTGGGTCCATTTTTTGAATACAGTATTGTATACATTACTCTTTTACAAAGAAATTAAAGTCTGTGGACTAGACTAGCTCAAGAGGCAGAGGCACTTATAAGTACAGAATTTAAGAGGGAGCCACAAGCATGGATTTTAAATTACTCAATGTATTTTGAGTACAATGGGATTCACCTGTGATATACTTATTTAAGCAAAATAAGGAATGCCTAATTCCTGCTTATATTTAGAGTCATGTAGACAAAGCAACGCCTGTATTGCTCTACAATGGCTTTAAAGTGCACCAGAAAGGAGGTGTGTGATGCAGCAGGCTGCTACATTGGTCTTCCATTATGGAGACCTAGAGTCAAATGTAGCTTAGGTTAGAAATGAGGGGATGTAGGACTATATGAGACAAGTGAGAATCAAGATTAAGCTCTATGGGGCATAGACTGTATCACTCTGTTTGCACAGTGCCTAGCACAATGGTACTTCACTCTCAGTTGGGCCCTAGCTGTTACTACAAAACAAAATGTTTTTGTAAGGCTCTTAGAATAATATTAAAATCCAGCTACTACAAAGTTAGTTCATAAATGAAGTTAGTAGATGTATTACTTTTGACCAAAGCTGAAACATGAGATCAGCCCAGGCGTACCAGATTTTTAAGCAGCTGAGAGATACTGTACACTAAGGGCTCACTGCATCTTGCAGTGCATCTTGTTTTTAAAACAAACAAGAAACAGTAGTATGCAAAATGATGATTGTCCTTTAATACTCTAATACCATCCCAACTGCAAACAAGATTTCTATAATATACCATTTTATATAGAGCTTAAATACTATATCTCCTCCATTTAATAGTCCTAATGTAAGAATGAAAGCTGTACGAAGACATACCCTGCCCTTCTACAATATTCCGAAGCACAAAGGTAGCACCAAGTCCTTTTCCTCCTCTTTGAATGCAAATTCCGACAAAACGGCTGGTTTTGTCACTGGCATATGGATCTGCTGTGGTAACAGAAAGGATGCTTCCTGTCCAAAAGAAGAGACTAGTCAGTAAATCATTCCTGAAACATGGAGAAGGAGTCAGATTTTAAGTGCAGACATTAATAGACACACTCAACTAAATTAATCTTTCTAAGAAACAGACTGAATTTACAAAATGTAGGCTTAAATATTTATATAAAAATATAGCATTTCTTTGCCTTTAAAGATTTAGTTCACATCATTAACGCTATTTACTTGAGTCTATAAACAGGAAAATTATAGACAAATGTTTCTTGGACCACATGCACACTGCAGTGTTTAGATTGTAAGCAATGCATAGAGAACGTCTGCATCCAGAACACTAACCTGTGTTTTCATTGAGTTCAAATGGCAATACTTCTATTAATCATATATTCTATTAATTGATCCTACACTGTCCATTAAATTTGGCAGCAGAAAATAGCTTTACAACAATGTTACTATGCCAATAATATATATCAGGGGGAGGCAACCTCTGGCACGTGAGCTGATTTTCAGTGGCACTCATACTGCCCGGGTCCTGGCCACCAGTCCGCGGGGCTCTGCATTTTAATTTAATTTTAAATGAAGCTTCTTAAACATTTTAAAAACCTTATTTACTTTACACACAACAATAGTTTAGTTATATATTATAGACTTATAGAAAGAGACCCTCTAAAAAAGTTAAAATGTATTACTGGCATGTGAAACCTTAAATTAGAGTGAATAAATGAAGACTCGGCACACCACTTCTGAAAGGTTGCTGACTCCCGATATATATATATTTTTTACTATATCAATGACCAATACTGGAAAAGTTATTAAAAATCCCAATGCTGTTAACTGACCAACATAGAACTCTGGAATGTTGAGCACTTTTCGCCTCCGTATCATGTCAGTTCTTTCAATATAGAATTTAAGAGGATTTGTTCTCCCTCTGGGGGGAATAAATTCAGGACTCAAGAACCTGTGGGGAAGTCAAAACCTTTATGAGTAAAGACGGAAGTAACTTGTATTAAAACCTACAACTTACCATAGTACTGAAGTAATAATATTTGGTCTACACATGAAAGACCTCTGTTATTCATGTGTGCAAGTTATTTTCACACTGACATAAATAGCAGTTTTTGCAATTCCTGATTGGAGTGCTCCAAGTTTCTTTCAATGAAAAGATGTGTAGTTTGTATTCAGATATTTTGCAGCTACAAGTACCTACAGTATTCATTGGCCTTTTGAGTGCGTGATAATTTTCTATTATTTATCACTTTTGTCATCGCTATCACTTTTGAGCATTAGAACTATGAACAAGGAGGATTAGTAATGGAATCTTTCATGGTTCAATTTAACCCATGTTAGCAGTGAGTACTTAAAATTGGATGGCTCATGGCTGAATAGTATTGTGTGTGAAACAAGTTGTAGGAGGTCTCTTTTGCTCCTAGTAGATGGGAGCCCAGAAGACACACCATGGGTGAGATTTTCACACCCCCCCCTTTACATGGGATAATGGGGCCAGAAATGCATAGAGGGACTATAAAAACCCTGGATCTGGCTGGAATTGCTCGACACAGAAAATTAGGAAGACAGATGGACATGGTCCTCTGAGGACTGCTTCGCAAACCCTTTTGTAGGGGCATGGCTATGCAATGGAAGCACAGCACACAAAACAGCAGAGATTCTGGTCAGTGCTGCTGTCCACAGGATAGCCCAGGTAGGCTACCATAACTTTGCCTCAAAGGGCTGCTCTGGACCCCGGAGGGCAGAAAAAGTGGTTTAACTGGAGGGGAGGATGGCAAATCCCTCTTGGCTGCAAGTTCTAGGAAGTGCAGCACAGAATCTTACCCCTTATGAAGATAGTTTCAAGTAATGAAAACCCTTACCAGTCTGAGATGACTGTCCAAGAGCTGAACGGATATGGAAAGAGGAGATGGACTGGATGCTCTCACAGGTGTCAAAGTTCTGATTCTAAGAAACTCTCCCCTGTCCTAAGCTGATTATACACTAGGCTTCTTTGGGAAATCTCCCAATGTTGCACTACCACCAACAGTGCAGAAACATTTTAATCATCGTCACCTAATGTTGCCCAGAGCAGGTTAGGTGATACAATAATAGAAACGCTTGTGCCCTTTTACACGAGCGTTCTCACTGAGGATACCAGCACCAGTGGCAGCAATATTTTACAGCAGCAGAGCCAGAATCATAATCCAGGTCTCTCAACTTCCAGTCACGGGTACTTTCTCCCTATGACAGACTGTTGTACTGAAGATACATATGTATTTAATATAATGAAGCTCAACAAAACATTACCCAGACTTGCATGTATGTTTACAACTACACAGAGATTCATGGATAAGTCAATTTTTGTAAATGCAAGTCACAGGGAAAGGTATTTTAAGCCCATTTTTTGACAAATTGGCTCTGCTTGCTTAACAAATGTTTACTTTATTTTGCATAATGGTGCTCAGTGGATTTCAGGAAGTGCTCATATAATTAATAACTCAACTGAAGACTATGGAAGGGAGTAGCAACTTTTAAGACGTGTAACTATACACTGTGCTAAGCAACAGAGTATCCTACCTTCTCTCTGCTACCTCTTTATGTTTGTCAACAACAACTGGCTTTGGAGGTGGCTGAAATTTTGTAGGTTCTCCATTGTTAGCCCTCAGAAGTCCAGAGGAAGAGAAGCACCCTTCAAAAGACAGAAACAAGATGGTGCTAAAAATAAACCAATTTCAACCAGGAGTAAAAGCAATGCCCATAACAAGCATGCATACAATTATAATGTGAGCAACTCTCAACCCTTCAAAATACTATGTGTGTATGAACATTCACAGTGTGTGTCCTCTGTTCCTCCAGTACCATCTTAAGGCAATAATAAAAGATCATGCCTTCCTTTGTTAGATGCTCATATGATAGAAGGAAACTGTGAGAAGCTAATTCAAGAAGTTTTAGATCAGTCAAAAGGAGATTAAGAAAAATGATATATTTCTTCTTCTGGTTTAAGCATCAGATTTTAGAATAGTTTTCAGATGACTTTATTCAAGCAGTTATTGCTGCAACGTTTTCCAAGTTAAGACTAAACTCATCTAAATCTATTTTTAACCTACAGACTTTTTCCTCAGTGATTTGCAGAAGTCTCAGGTACTTTTATGTTTCACTACTATTTCAACATTGCAAAAGAACTTATTACTGCACTCTCACACTGAAAGTACAAAAATATTCTTGCATGCCTTGATCCTCCAAGATCTGTGCAGAGCTCACCGCAAGATCAGACCCGTAGGGAAAAAAAAATGATGAATATAATAGTAGGGAATAAAAGTACAGCTCTCCTCACTCACAGTCCTGGACCAGAACCACAACCATCCTTCCTCTTAGCAGATCTCTGCAACCTGAAAACTAGGGTCATCTATACCATCGTCAATTTGGAAAGAAGTGCTTGAGAGGTTTTTTACGGAGAGAAAATGAGCCCAAGGACACTGCATGAGGATGTAACTAACCCAAAGCAATGTCATCAGGTGCGACACACATTCCAGGGCCACAGAGAGCACTTCCCTCCCAAAGTGGGGGAGGCTAGAAGCAGAGATCCCGGCAGCACCCCGCACCCAGCAAAGGAGGCAGCGAAGGGCACAGCAATCCAGGCAGCCCCTCCCATAAAGGGGACACTGATGGGGGAGCGGGGACCCAGGCAGCCCCTCCACAAAAGGGGCAGTGGCGGGGAAAGCGGAAGCAGGCCCGCCCCGGGCAGGGGGACGGTGACGGGAGAGCGGGGCGGCAGGGACCGGGGCGGGGCAGGCCCGGCTTCCCTCCGCGAAGGGGGCAGTGACTAGGAGGAGGGACCCAGGTTCCGCCCCGGTTCCTTACGGCAGCGCGCAGCGGGCCGGGCGGCGGACGCCCTAGCGAGGGCCCTCACGCCCGCCTGCTCCAGGAGCCTCCCGCAGGCGGCGGCCATGACGGCTCCAGCTAACGTCCCCGGCGCCTGCGCACGCGCCCACAAGCGCACGCGCCCACAAGCCCCCGCGTCCGCTACGGCCAGCGCAGCGTCCCAAACTGCCCGCGAAAGCGGAACGAGGCTTCAGGGCGGGCGGGGCCCTGCCTCGGAGGCGGGGCTGGTTTCTGAATCGGTGGGGGGTGGGGGCAGCTGGAGGCGGGGCAGGGCGCGCCAGGCTCCCGCGCTGCCCCGCCGGCCGAAGGCGAGGGACTGATGGGAGACGGGGCAGCCCTGCGGGGGGGGGACCCCCAGGCCGGGTGAGACCCCCGGCGGGGCATTCCTGGGCGGGGAGGTCGGGAGGCGGAGCCCCCACAGTCACTTTCAGGGGTGGCAGGTGTGTGTCACCTTTGGTGGTGCGGGGGGGCGGGCGAAGCTAAGTCCCGCCTCCCCACCTTGTAAGCCGATGTATCGTTTTAAGAATAAGGTAAAAAGGGACTGGAAACAGGAAGCGTTTAACAGTTTCCCTTGTATTGCACAATATCACTGTTAACTAAGAAAATCGACCTTATTAATACTCTTTGGAATAGGGAAACAACCAAGCCCTCTTGGATCAATAACCCTCCAAAGCAAATACTTTCTCAAATTAAAACAAAGATGGCCCCTTCTTTCGCAGGGTTCTTCAACTTTTCCTCATTGTTTGGTTCTGGCAATGAAGTCATCCGGGAGACTTGCAATGTCCAGTTCCGAGGTAGAGGTCTTATGTAAGCGGAGTCAGGATGAGCTGGAGCCCTGACCCCTGGTGGTGAGGTGTGGCAAGTTGTGGAAAAGAACTTCAGGGGCCGATCTCATTTGCATAGGTACATCCACCCCGCCTAGAATGAGGCCATAGCTGCCCAAATGGTCACTTTGGCTGCTGTGGGACTCCCCACTGTCTCTGTTATTGGGGCCCAAAGAATAAATTGTTATTACCCAGTTTTATTACCCTGATTATGGGAATCAAGGACAGTGGAACTGCACTTGGCCTTTTGTTATGATGGAGGGACTCGCCATCAACTAAAGAGCACTCACTAGGCAAGGGACATGGGTTCCAAAACTCAGTGAACTGAAAGAGAGGTTGGGAACAAGTATTAATATTTGGTGGCCTGGGTCCCCTGGTAAGGGCCTTACATGCTAATTGTACTTCCTCCTCTCTCCACTGTGGAATATCAGAGCTAATTTTGATTCTATTAGGAGTCTAGTTACAGGCTGCTGAGCTGAATTCACTTCGGGCTAATGGTGCACCAGCACTGAGGCGCCCCTCCTACAAGCTGAAATCACTGAGTGTTGTGTTAAGTAGTGGGGAAGCCTGAAGATATATGGTGGAGCAGTTTGCGGGATGGCGAGCGGAGCGGCTGGTGGAGCACAGCAGTTTGCGGGATGGCGAACGGAGCGGCTGGTGGAGCAGAGCAGTTTGCGGGATGGCGAGCGGAGTGGCTGGTGGAGCAGAGCAGTTTGTGGGATGGCGAGCGGAGCGGCTGGTGGATGCCTAGAGCAGCCCATGGGGTGGCTGGCACAGTGGAGCCCCATGGAGAGGTGGGGCCATCAGCTTTGGACCATGTGAGGTGTCCCTTAACACCCCCCCCCAATCTCCACCCAGGTTGGGAGGTAAAACTCTGCAGATAAACTTTTGAACTCTGGGGCTGCCCTGACCAGGGACAGAGACTTTTGGGTCATTGGACTTTTGGGACTTTGGGTGATTTTGGGTTGCTGGACTCAAGAACTAAAGGGAAAGGACATGCCCCAATTTGCTTGGGGTGGGTTTTTGCTGATGGGTTGTGTTATGAATCCTGTTCGTGGTGTTTCCCCAACATAATGCCACATTATTAAAAGGGTTTTTGTTACACTCAGACTATGTCTTGCAAGAGGGGAAATATTGCTTCTTGGAGGCGCTCAGCGGGGGTGGTATATATTTGTCCCAGGTCACTGGGTGGGGGCTCGAGCCAGTTTTGCATTGTGTTATTGGAATGGAACCCCTAGATACTGAACCCGGCCCTTGTTGCTGCCAACTCTGATGGGCAGAAGGGTTACATTTATGAATGTGCAGAATGCCAAGTGATTTAGACGTCGTTCGCAAACACTTTTTCAGTCTACGCAGGCAACTGAATGATCACTCAGCGGTGCAGGTTGTAGTCGGAATTGTGTAGAATGATTTCAGGAGAATTGTAACTTCTGACAACATGTCACGCAAGCCTTCGTTTTGTTTCAGAAATTGCTTCACTTCGCTCACCGAAGTAAGCTGGCAATTTCTCGATCTGCAAATATCACTCAACATTTCTAAATGAAGATAGAGCCTCTTCCATGTTAATGTCAACATGGAAAGCTTCACTTATTGGGACAATGTCCTGTTTCAAGCCATTTGCTGCATCAGTTATATGCTTCTCCAATTTTACAGTGAATGTAAAGCTTTCTATTGAAAACCTCTGTTCAATGGCAAGCATCAATTTGCAAGCATCAATGATCCCAACATGTATATGATGAAAATACACTTTGGGGTCACTGAAAGTGTGAGGAAAGCTTCCCTGGTTGAACCATCTTGGTGGCTTGTGTTTTTTCGGTAGTGTAGGATCATCTAAATAAAGATTTCTTGCCTTCTCTACTGTTGTTTCCCAGAAGTGACCCTTTGATGAGTCAGTGCGCAATCCCACTCAACACCTTGCAACAGGCCAACTTTCTTCATAACGTTTGCCAATGACATGTTTTGGCTTTGAATTTTTGCATTAGCTTCTTCTACAGGACCCATGGCTTTCACAAGAACTGTTAGTGTAAAGTATGTTGAAAAAGATTGACGTTGCTTCGAGAATCCACTACATTTTGAGCCAGCTTCATCGGAAGAGAAACTCAATTCATCTAAGCAGTTCATCATGGCCTCATAGTTGTGGAGCAGTGAGTTACTGCTACTGATCCTTAGTGTCCATTTTGTTGGGCACAATGGTTGTAAAGAAGGCTCCCCTTCACTCTGAAATTCTCTGAATGCTGCCATACGCTTTGGTGACTCCCTGAAAGCATTGATGAGATCTTTCACCATCGAAAACACATCACGGCATTCTCAAATATTATGCAGGGCATCCTGCATGGCAAAGTTAAGGGAATGTGCGTCACAGTGCACAAATTCCGCTCTCGGCTCTCGATCCTTCACTCTGGCTTGGACCCCAGTAATTTTGCTGGACACATTATTGGCTCCATCGTAACACTGCCCCCAGCAATCAGAAAAGGGCAAATCTCACCCAAGATGTGTATCTTCCACAATTTTGAAAAGGGAAGCAGTGTCCATTGCGTCAGTTTTGTATAACCCAATAAACTCCTCATAAATCTCCCAGTCTGCACTAAAAAAGATCATTAAAGAAAAACGTACTTGTTCTTTTCTTGACAACTCAGTAGTCTCATCCATTACAATGGCATAAAACTGTATTGCCTTTTATCTTTTGCACAATTTGTCTTTGCGACATCATTGCCATCATTTTGATTATTTCATTAATAACCTCATGTGACAGCCATTTGTATTTTGTGCGACTAAGCCACTGTCTTAGTTCCTTTGACTCTGTACTGCGTAGCAACAAGAGCTGCATCAAATTTGAACCACTCTCATTATGTCCTATGTGATACAGCATGGCCAGAGAGCAGCAGAAGAGTGTTAGAAGGGAACCTTATTCCCTGTAGAGGGAAGAAAGTTTGCTATAGATTAATTAAAGAATCTGAAGCCAATTAGAGCACCTGAAGCCAGTCACCTGATAGTTTTTGCAGACTGAGCAAAAAGCTCTGTCTAATTCACTACTGTACTCCAAGCACATAAATCTTGATAGCCAAGACTGCTGAAAACTCCTTTTCTTATCTTGTAGATTTGCCACATCTTTCTTTTGTATAACTTCAATTTGAAAGCTGGGTGTCGAACTCAGGCCGTCACTTGATGAATTACCTTTTTCTTCTTTTTCTCTGGGTAACTTTATTAAGAATTTATCCATTGTTGATTATTACTGGTCCTATAAAACAAGAATTTCATTGCTGGGATAAAATGAAGCCACAATGCGCTGATGCCACAAGATTACAAGGGCCAATTAAAAGTGAAAAGTCAGAAGCAGTACTTGCCTGCTTCAAAGACATTATATTTTGTTGTACAACCAATTATATACTTTAAAGGGTGTAAAATAATCAAGTATTGTGCTAAACACAATCATACCCCAAACTGACCGCCAAATTTAAGTTGCGTGTTTTTTCCCTCAGGTTAGGGCCCTGGGGTGGGGCTGGGGGTAAGGGGTTCACAGTGCAGGAGGGGGGGTCAGGGCTGGGGATGAGGGTTGGGGTGCAGGGGGGTGAGGGCTCTGGCTGGGGGTGCAGGCCAGGGATGAGGAGCTTGGGGTGCAGACAGGCTGCCCCGAGGCTAGGGCCAGAGAGGAGGACTCCCGCAACCCTCTCCCTGCCGGCAGCAGTGAGTTCTGGGGGAGGGGCCCCCTTCTTCCTGCCCCAGCAGCACACTTACCCTGCACCACTATCACTGACTGCGATCCTAGGGGCTGGGCCCCTCTCAGGTTCAGGAAGCCCCCTCGCCTCCCCTGTGGTGGTGCTGGGGCGGAGGGGGGGCTGCCATCATGTGTGGCCTCCTCCCCTGCTGCAGCATGCTGTCCCTCACCATAGCCTCACGGAGGATGTGGCTGCCCCTTGCCCAGCGTGGGACACGAGTGGTAGCTGTGGGGGGTGGTAGGGCGCGGATCACACAGTTGAACACTCACCCAAGCCCCAGCAACTGCTCAGGTGAGGTCCAGACTCCGTGTCCTGGAAGCCCCCTCGGTGTTGCCTTCAGTGGGTGCTGGGGGAGGGGAAGGCTGCCAATCATGTGTGCGCCTCCTCCCCTCCTCAGGTGCAGCAGCCGCCTCAGCCTGCTGCCGGCGCCGCTCTTGTGCTGTAGCCTTAGGTCACAGTGGCCGGCGCAGGCAAGGGAGTGCAGCGTGGAGCGGCAGGGCAGCTACCCGCTTTCAGGTAGGGATGCTCCAGGGCCAGGGGAGGCGCGCGGGCGGGAGGGGCGGCAGCCGGGGGAGAGACTCAGTTCCAA